TGCCCTATCCCCCTCCCTATTCTAACATAACTAACCACCCTCCCCCTTTTCCCCACATTCCTCTTCCTGACTTAACTGTCATTGTTTGCTAACTGATTTTTCAACTCATTTTGTTGTAATAATATTTTTACTTGAATTTCTGTGATTTGTTGCATTGTTTTGAATTTCTACTAATCTCTGTCAGTTGTATATTTTCAGGGGCTCAGAAGAGGAACAAGGAAGGAGGATCAAGGCCTACCAACATCCTGAAGTGAAGAGTTGTCTCTCTTCCATTCAATTGCAGACATGAAGCAGAATGCTCGGTAAGATTCAGACTTCTTGCATCCTTTCCTGAGCTTTTGCTTGCCAATTGATGTTGGCTGTATCAGGCTTTGACCTCTTGACCTTCACTTGACAGGGTGCAGAGATGCTGATGCAGTTCAGAAGGAACATCACCAGGAGCCACATCAACAGCCTTGGAAGTTTATATGGAAGTATTTTTTTGATTTTTTTTCCCTTCTCTCTCTTTTCTTTGTCCTTGCCCCTCCCTATTCTAACATAACTAACCACCCTCCCCCCTTTTCCCCACATTCCTCTTCCTGACTTAACTGTCATTGTTTGCTAACTGATTTTTCAACTCATTTTGTTGTAATAATATTTTTACTTGAATTTCTGTGATTTGTTGCATTGTTTTGAATTTCTACTAATCTCTGTCAGTTGTATATTTTCAGGGGCTCAGAAGAGGAACAAGGAAGGAGGATCAAGGCCTACCAACATCCTGAAGTGAAGAGTTGTCTCTCTTCCATTCAATTGCAGACATGAAGCAGAATGCTCGGTAAGATTCAGACTTCTTGCATCCTTTCCTGAGCTTTTGCTTGCCAATTGATGTTGGCTGTATCAGGCTTTGACCTCTTGACCTTCACTTGACAGGGTGCAGAGATGCTGATGCAGTTCAGAAGGAACATCACCAGGAGCCACATCAACAGCCTTGGAAGCTTATATGGAAGTATTTTTTTGATTTTTTTCCCTTCTCTCTCTTTTCTTTGCCCTATCCCCCTCCCTATTCTAACATAACTAACCACCCTCCCCCCTTTTCCCCACATTCCTCTTCCTGACTTAACTGTCATTGTTTGCTAACTGATTTTTCAACTCATTTTGTTGTAATAATATTTTTACTTGAATTTCTGTGATTTGTTGCATTGTTTTGAATTTCTACTAATCTCTGTCAGTTGTATATTTTCAGGGGCTCAGAAGAGGAACAAGGAAGGAGGATCAAGGCCTACCAACATCCTGAAGTGAAGAGTTGTCTCTCTTCCATTCAATTGCAGACATGAAGCAGAATGCTCGGTAAGATTCAGACTTCTTGCATCCTTTCCTGAGCTTTTGCTTGCCAATTGATGTTGGCTGTATCAGGCTTTGACCTCTTGACCTTCACTTGACAGGGTGCAGAGATGCTGATGCAGTTCAGAAGGAACATCACCAGGAGCCACATCAACAGCCTTGGAAGCTTATATGGAAGTATTTTTTTGATTTTTTTCCCTTCTCTCTCTTTTCTTTGTCCTTGCCCCTCCCTATTCTAACATAACTAACCACCCTCCCCCCTTTTCCCCACATTCCTCTTCCTGACTTAACTGTCATTGTTTGCTAACTGATTTTTCAACTCATTTTGTTGTAATAATATTTTTACTTGAATTTCTGTGATTTGTTGCATTGTTTTGAATTTCTACTAATCTCTGTCAGTTGTATATTTTCAGGGGCTCAGAAGAGGAACAAGGAAGGAGGATCAAGGCCTACCAACATCCTGAAGTGAAGAGTTGTCTCTCTTCCATTCAATTGCAGACATGAAGCAGAATGCTCGGTAAGATTCAGACTTCTTGCATCCTTTCCTGAGCTTTTGCTTGCCAATTGATGTTGGCTGTATCAGGCTTTGACCTCTTGACCTTCACTTGACAGGGTGCAGAGATGCTGATGCAGTTCAGAAGGAACATCACCAGGAGCCACATCAACAGCCTTGGAAGCTTATATGGAAGTATTTTTTTGATTTTTTTCCCTTCTCTCTCTTTTCTTTGCCCTATCCCCCTCCCTATTCTAACATAACTAACCACCCTCCCCCTTTTCCCCACATTCCTCTTCCTGACTTAACTGTCATTGTTTGCTAACTGATTTTTCAACTCATTTTGTTGTAATAATATTTTTACTTGAATTTCTGTGATTTGTTGCATTGTTTTGAATTTCTACTAATCTCTGTCAGTTGTATATTTTCAGGGGCTCAGAAAAGGAACAAGGAAGGAGGATCAAGGCCTACCAACATCCTGAAGTGAAGAGTTGTCTCTCTTCCATTCAATTGCAGACATGAAGCAGAATGCTCGGTAAGATTCAGACTTCTTGCATCCTTTCCTGAGCTTTTGCTTGCCAATTGATGTTGGCTGTATCAGGCTTTGACCTCTTGACCTTCAATTGACAGGGTGCAGAGATGCTGATGCAGTTCAGAAGGAACATCACCAGGAGCCACATCAACAGCCTTGGAAGCTTATATGGAAGTATTTTTTTGATTTTTTTCCCTTCTCTCTCTTTTCTTTGTCCTATCCCCCTCCCTATTCTAACATAATTAACCACCCTCCCCCCTTTCCCCACATTCCTCTTCCTGACTTAACTGTCATTGTTTGCTAACTGATTTTTCAACTCATTTTGTTGTAATAATATTTTTACTTGAATTTCTGTGATTTGTTGCATTGTTTTGAATTTCTACTAATCTCTGTCAGTTGTATATTTTCAGGGGCTCAGAAGAGGAACAAGGAAGGAAGACCAAGGTCGACTAAATGAAGAAAAGTCCATTTCTTAGCTTTGTGCTGCAGCCCACAATGCCAAAAGTGGTAAGCAACAAGCTGCTTTTTTCATATCCCCCACAATCGAAGTTTAGACAGGTATTATGGAATCAGCATGTGCGGCTGTTTGTCTGCCATCTGTCTGTCCTTCTGTCTGTAGACATGATTTTGTCCAAACCAGTTGTCAGAGACTATTATATGGATTTTTCAGAAAATTTGTACATTCATTATTTACCATATGAAGGTGTGCACCTTGTATTTTTATTATGATTGGTTAATTTTTCTGCATTTTACAGGTGTTGACTTTGTCATTTTTTTTGGTACATGTACTTTTGAGACATAGAATCTGGAACTGCCAGTTGGTACATCTGTACAAAAATGTAAATTGCAGTTTAAAACTACTCATTAAAACTCAAAATATCGCTTAAGTACAAAAAAATGTTTTAGGCAGATAGTCCCTACAAATCTAAGAGTTATGCAGTAACCTTATTTAAAATTTTGAATCAGTATTACACAGTTCTTTTTTTTCTCATTATATGAAGCTTTGTAACAGATTTAAAAACACAATCTTTGTTTACAACAGAATGACATGCATTGTAAATATGCATTTTCTATTGTATTATAGACAGTGTATTACACAGCAGATAGTGTAAATCCATTTGTCCCGTGGGATTAATGAGTGGAAATACATCCAGTTAAAGATTAATTAATGAGTTCAACGTGGGAAGCTATTAGAGTATCTCTGATCTAGCAGGTGTTATCTATATCTACTGGGAATTGGGCAGAAGAATTAAAGATCTCTGTTCTCTAACTCTTTTAATTTATAGTCTCTCAAATTAAAATACTTAAGATTCCTTATTTTTTTGCAAGTACTTATTATCGCGAAATGGCTCTTTAACGTCAAATTTCAAGAATAATAATTCGCGATTGGGCGGTTGATCAAGAGATTTTACATGGATTTCATCACCATAAAAATAAAAAGCAAGTAATTTTATTTCGTGAGTGGTACTTCTCGCGTAATTACGCGTGAATTAATTCTCTGGGTATATTTGGGAATCTACATTATGTAGTAAGTGGATGAGCAGCCTTTTATTTTAAAAATGAATTTGGTATAAAGTTATCAAGATTAACTAGATATTGTATAATATGATATTTTTATTTTTTCAACAAACAAATTGCAGAGTGTCATGTCTCACAAAGATGACAAATAGTTGCAATTTATTTTTTCAATAATAAAAAAAAACAATTTACAGTTGAACTTCAGTATCTCAAACACAGATATCTTGAATACCATGGATATGTCAAAGTGACTGGGAAGTCCTTAAATGTTTTACCCTCGATATCTCAAATTATCGGATATCTCAAAGTTTTTCTTTCTTGGTCCCATCGAGTTTGAGATAACGAGGTTTGACTGTAATTACTAATATTGATGTTTTATTTGGCCACACCTTAGTTCATCATACCTTTAAAAAATATAATGAGTGATTAAATTTTTACTCAAATGTTTAAACAAATTGTGAACACTCTTAAGTCTATAAAATATGTTCAGTGACTTTGCACCATTTCTGAAAAACCCAGCAGGGGGTATTTGTCCATTTTGGACAGTTCTAGTTTCAATTAAACTTCTCACTTGATATGAATACAAATGTTTCTCCTTTGATGTTTCTGTTTTTTCTTTGTCAGAAGAAGATGGTTTAGGCTGACCAGGATCCCAAAGTGAGGAGGAGTCCATCTCCCATTCAACTGTAGACATAAGAAGAAGGCACGGTAAGACTCAGACTCTACTTCTTAGTATATTTAATACCTTTTTCTTTTCAATTGATGTTGGTCTGTATCAGGCTTTGACCTCTTGACTTCCACTTGACAGGATGCAGAGAATGCCAAGCCTAACCTATGGAACATCATCAGGACCCACTTTACCAGCCAGGAGTCTTATATGAAGTACTTTTCATTTGATCCTCTCTGACTTTTCTTTCTCCTTTGTCCTCCCAACTCTAACATAACTAACCATCCCCCTCCTCTGCCTATACCCCCTTCCAATTCCTATCCCAGCTTTACCAACCTTATTGTCTTTTTTAATTTTCTAACTGATTTTCCAAATGATAATGTGGTAATGATTATGTTTACTTGAATTTCCTTCATTTTTACATTGCATTGAATTATTAGTAATCTCTTCATCATATATTTTCAAGGACGATGGATGAAGGGGAAAGACCAGGAACAGAAGAACAGAAGAAGAGGAGTCTATTGTCCAGCTATGTTCAGCAGCCAGCATTGGCCAAGGAGTAAGTTAAAAAAACCTTCTTTTTTTGCAATTTTCAAATTTTTCTTGTACTTGGTGAGTTTTTATGACTCTTTCTTACTAGACATGAAGTCTTTTTCCCTCTCTGATATTTTTATTTTTGTTGTACTTTTGGATCTCTGTTTTCTATTTAACTTTTCTACTTTAGCCTCTTAATTTTTTATAAACTCACCTGAACCAAAGGCTCATAAACTATTTACAATTTCATCCAGAACACTAGGCCAATTTCAACCAAACTTTGCACAAAGTATTCGTGGGAAAAGGGGATTCAAGCTTGTTCAAATGAAGGGTCACGCCCTCTTCCAAGGGGAGATAATTAAGAAAAAATAAAAGTTGGGTTGAACCACTAAGCAGTTCATAAAGCGTAAACTGTCCCAACAGTTTATAATGTATAAATTTGACAACTATTAAATTCATTCCTTAAATATTTAGATTTTTTCTTAAAAATCTAAAGAATCACTTGGCCAGAAAAATTTCTTGATGTGTAGATTCAAGTTTGCTCAAGTATAGAACCATATGGAAAGAGTGAGTCTACAATGGAAATCAGATGTTTAAATCAGATTTCTCAAAAACAATTAGACAGAAAAGAAATAAAAATGATGAATCCTAACATATTTTAAATTCAAGTTTGTTCAAATCATGGTCCCAGGAGGATTTACTTCTGTTGCAGAACAGCAAGACCATGTAGTTGTAATAATGTTTAAAGGACCTCACGATTTGTTAATTCAAAGTAGGTTACATCTTGAACTCTTGGGTCTAGGGTGGCAAAAATATGAAGTAAGAATTTTTTTTCTGATAACAAGGTCAAGGTGACTCAGGTGAACATTGTGGCACAAGGGCCTCTTGTTCTTTTTATGCCCCCGGATCGAAAGATCCCGGGGGTATATTGTTTTTGTCCTGTCTGTCTGTTTGTCTGTTTATCTGTTTGTCTGTCTGTCTGTTGTCAACTTTAACGTTGCCCATAACTTTTGATTGGTTGGAGCTATGACTTTCATATTTCACATGTGTATTCCTTGTGACAAGACCTTTCTTTGGGTACCATCATATTTGACCTTTTGACCTTGACCTTGGAGTTTGACCCACTTTTGCAAAATTTTATGAGACTTTAACCTTGGCCATAACTTCTGAACAGTTGGTGCTTGGGGTTTCAAACTTCACATGTGTATTCCTTGTGACAAGGCCTTCCTTTGGATACCAACAACTTTGACCTTTTGACCTTGACCTTGGAGTTTGACCTACTTTTGAAAAACTTTAACCTTGGCCATAACTTTTGAACAGTTGGTGCTTGGGGTTTCAAACTTCACATGTGTATTCCTTGTGACAAGTCCTCCTCTGGATATCAACCTCTTTGACCTTGACCTAGGAGTTTGACCTACTTTTGAAAAACTTTAACCTTGGCCATAACTTTTGAATGGTTGGTGCTAGGGCTTTCATACTTCACACATGTAATCCTTGTGACAAGACCTTCCTTTGGATACCAACCACTCTGACGGTTTGACCTTGACATAGGAGTTTGACCTACTTTCGAAAAACTCTAACCTTGGCCATAACTTTTGAATGGTTGGTGCTGGGGCTTTCCTACTTTACATATGTAATCCTTGTGACAAGACCTTCCTTTGGATACCAACAACTTTGACCTTGACCTTGATGTTTTACTTAATTTTAAAAAACTTTAACCTTCGCCATAACTTTTGAACAGTTGCAGCTAGGGCTTTCAAATTTAACATTTTTTATCTTTTGGCCTGGATTTTGACTTGCATTTGAGAAACTTTAACCTTCGCCATAAGCTGCCATACGGGGGCATCAGTGTTTCACAAACACATCTTGTTTTAATGATCTTTGGGTGTTCTTTGTTAACAGGCAGAAAATGAGGCTGAGCTCTAAACCATTCATTATGTGAATTAGATTTTATGACTCTTTATCGTTTCTTAAAATTACTAGTGTCTTTTTTTTCAGTCAGGGAATTTTGCCATCATTGATCCCGGTTCCCAAGAGTAGATCGCCCTAATTCAGCAAGAGTCCAACGAGATGAACTTGGGCTTGACCTGAAAATGTAGGTTATAGACACCAATTCAACAAATTCCTTCTACTCTGTGAAATTATTATAACTCTTTCTTTTGTTTAGGTTTTAATATATTTTTTGTGACCCTTCCAGATTGTTTCTTTACAGGCAATCTGGCATCAATATTGTTTCTAAGAGCAGAAAAATATACATCAACAAGAGTGCAGAGAGTAAGGATGGACTGCAGCCTGACCTGGAAGTGATGGTAAGGAGCAAGCTGTACACCTTTTACTGACTGAGACTTTAAGGTCACTTCATTCATATCAGCTGACATTTTGCCATTCATTTGTGTCCTTCATCATGCTTTATGCATTGTCTGTTGTCCATTACCAATGCAATACAGTTGAACAAATTTATAACAGACTTGCTTACAATGAATTCAAACGTATAGTGAAGTGATTTTAAATCCATATGATTTTAAATTATATTGTGAACTAAACATATATAATATTTATAATGAAGCAAATTTTGTCCATCCCTTTAAGCATGTTTTACTCTATTTTAAACTTCTTAAATACTTCCTGTTTAATTTTCTTCAACTTTGATTCATATTAGGGGTAAGATGAATATATAATGTGTTTTTTTTTTAATCATCATACCTCTGGGATCTCAGGAAAGGGGTAGAAACTGCTAAAAAAAATTACTAGTACACATCTTAAAAAAATGAATGAATGGTAAAGAAAAGGATTAAGGTCATATACAGTCAAACTTGTCATAGCGGTCACCTTTATCCAGCGGTCACCTGTCCTATGCGGTCATTTTAATTCCTCCCAATGAATTTTCCTATATAATGTAACTCTATTAAGCGGTCACCTGCGTAACGCGGTCAGCGGTCATCAAATTTCATGTAAAATCGCTGTTTTACCTCGTATATAGCGGCCATTTTGTCCAATCACGTGACCAGGTCTAGAGTCAGGTGACTCCCAATTACTGTCACTAAGGCAAATAATTAGTCTAGTGTGGCGAGATCATCGAAAAAAATTGGCCTAATTAAACCATTTAAAATATTGGATAATTTATTTATTCTTTTAACAAAACTCAAACAAGGGTGTTCATGAATGAAATAGTTATCAGGAAAACAAACTTATGAGAATCTTAGATTATAGAATTGGAATCTGATTTAAAAAATTCTGAGTGATATTTTAAAAAAGAAACGCATTCTTATTTATCTATTAATGGATACAATATTAAGGTGTTTCCTAATTATTAGTTCACGTTTGGCATGCCCAGCTCCGATAGGTGTTATTGTGTAAACGCATGGCAGGCAGTTTTTAACATCTAGGAAACGTATTATTTGTAGAAACCCTAATTAACTGTTTTGTATACACAATGTTTCCTGATTATCTCGTGATTTTCACCTTGGTAAGACGACCGTTAGGATTAGTCAAGCTTCATTGCTCACAACACCTGTGAATTTGATATCAATTTGTATTGTGCACTGTAAGATCAACTGAGAGTACATAATATGACTTGTCTGTTTATTATGCAATGATTTATGTATTGTTAAACATACAATTGTTAAGTTTAATACATAACTAAACATGTTTTTTTAGATGCAGTTTAGATAAAAATACATCATATTTAATTCATTACATTACATGATAATTTCTTATGATAATAGAAAGTTTTGTAGTTGTTTGGACGGAGGGTAATGCAATGCCCTATTAGATCAATATGTTTTTGTTGGAGTCATCAAATTTAGCTTGAACTTAATCTTGAGATGTACTATTTAAAATTTAGAAAAAAAAATCTTAGTGAGACCATTGATGTCTTATAAACATCTTTCTTTAATATTCTATGATATAGTATTGTAAAACACAGAACTTACATAAATGGGAAAAAAAAAATTCCTGAAAAAGATGAACCTCTATTCAAAGGTCACCTCTCTAGAAAGGTCACTTTTAATGATTCCCGCAGGTGACTGCATAATACAGGTGTGACTGTACGTCAATTTGGGGGAAAAAATCTTGACCCAAAGGGCTGGGATTCTACCTCCAGGGCAGAATGTTATATAGTGAAGATGTACAAGGTCTTAGAAACTCTTTTTTTCTTCTACACCATTTATGAAAAAATGGGATGTATCATGGTTAGGAAGAAACCTACAATCAAAGTATTTTAATGTACCTCAAGATGGATTCTGTCTCCTTGGTAAGGTCAAAATTGTCATATATTTGTAGTGAAAATGCACATACTCTTAAGTTTCCACCAAATAAAGTTTTTGTCACACAATGCTAGAATTCTAGTTCTGTCTGGGTCTTATTTAGTCATCAAGGTCTGAGAAATTCATAGAACTCAGGTGACCATCTATGATACTGTTGATGAATACGACTAGAAATTTAGCCTTCAATTCTTAAGTCTTCAAAGAAGAGTTATCTCCTATTTTTCAGCCTTTTGTAGCAAAATTGAATATGTACAAAAGAATATAAGAGATAGATAAGTTTTTTAATTTTCTTTGAATTTCATTAATTTTCATTTCCATTGTCTTATTTTTTTAATACCTTTTTCATTGACAGAAAATTAGCCAAGAGGAAACTAATGATGTCACCTTCTATTGAGAATGTAGAGGATGGATTGCTTGATCTAAAATCTCAGGACAAGAATAATCCATTTGTCACCTTTTTTTTCAAATTGGACATAACAGCTAAACTCACAGAATTCAATGGGCATTGCTGTGTACATTGTTAAAAGGTGATGGACACACTTAATATCTAAAGTTACAGAATCTGAGGAACAGTGTTGAGAACATAACAAAGTAATGGACACAATACATAGGTAATTACACAATTCTGTGGACAGTGCTGATGAGTACCTTGTTATTAATAAAGTGATGGACACAATACAAATATCTAACTCACAGAATTTAATGGACAGTGCTGAGTATGTAGTTATTATAAAGTGATGGACACAATACAAATATCTAAACTCACAGAATTCAATGAACTGTGCTGAGTACATTGTCATTAACGAAGTGATGGACACACTGAACAGCTAAACTCACAGAATTCAATGGACAGTCCTGAGTATGTTGATATTAACAAAGTGATGGACTCAATAAATATCTGAACTCACACATATGGACAGTGTTAAGTACAATTTGTTATTAACAATGTGATGGACACACTGAACAGCTAAACTTACAGAATTCAATGGATGGTGCTGAGTACTTTGTCAATAACAAAATGATGGACACACTCAATAGCTAAACTCACAGAATCTAATGGACTGTGCTGAGTACAATATGTTATTAACAAAGTGATGGACTCATTAAACAGCTAAACTCAAAGAATTCAATGGACAGTGCTGATTATGTTTTCATTAACAAAGTGATGGACACACTGAACAGCTAAACTTACAGAATTCAATGGACATTGCTGAGCATGTTGTTATTATAAAGTGATGGACTCAATAAATATTTTAACTCACAGAATTCAAATGGACATTGCTGAGTACATTGTTATTAACAAAGTGATGGGCACAATAAATAACTAAACTCACACAATTCTATGGACAGTGTTAAGTACAATTTGTTATTAACAAAATGATGGACACACTGAACAGCCAAACTCACAGAATTCAATGGATTGTGCTGAGTACATTGTTATCAACAAAGTGATGGACACACTGAACTTCTAAACTCACAGAATTCAATGGACAGTGCTGAGTACATTGTGATTAACAAAGTGATGGACACACTCAATAGCTAACTCATAGAATTCAATGGATGGTTCTGAGTACATTGTTATCAACAAAGTGATGGAAACACTCAGTAGTTAAACTCACACAATTCTATGGATGGTGTTAAGTACAATTTGTTATGATGATGGACACACTGTGAAGTGAAAACATAACAAAATAGTTTCATAATCACTTTCATGTTGGAAATTTTTGTGAAAGAACAGACAAGGAGTAATCACCCCCTGTCGACTTTCACACCTGCCGTGCACCCTGTTAAGACTGGGTAAACGGAAAAGTCCATACATAGACAATGCAAGGTTAAAATGATGACTTAACAATTTTTATAAAAAATATCAGTCAACATTTGACTTAAAGATAGACTTTATTTGGAAAACAAAGGATTACTCATGACATCAACAGCATGCAGTTCATATAGGGATTAAGAACTTGACTCTGTTTAATTCGTTTTATGAAGGCATTTAAGCTCACATGATATTCTATGGAAGAAAAGGCTTAGACTGTTACTAAACTATTGTATGACTGTTTATAAGTGATTTTCTCTGTTCTTTTTATTTTTTTTAACGATTTTTTAAAGATCATTTATTTAAGCGTTTAAAAAAACAAGGGAGGTAATATTTTAATCAGTGCTTCCCCTCATTTTTACTTCAATATTGATTATTTTGAATGATCATTCAAAAAATTTACTTCTTTCTTAATTATAAGAAAAGTATCCTCATTCAAAATTTAAATATGAAAATACTGTATGTGTACTTAATAATGCGGACTTCATATTTTAGCGGCTTTGGCGCAGACAGCAATGCACTAATTCATGAATACCGCTAAGAAATCATTTATGAATACAATATACGACACAGACTTGTATAGCGCTAATTCATGATTTCGCCAACAACTCCATACCCAGTGATTGTGCTAAATTTTGATTATAATTTATGTAAACGTACAGTACATCATATAAAGTATATATTCTTTTCGTGTGTTAAATATAGGCATCTTATTGACAATCTCTTTTGTTCAGAATTTTTGCTATTTCATATTTTTTCTTAAAATCGTTTTAAAGATACATTGCTATTTGAACAGTAATTAAACAATGCTATTTAATTTTTCAATTTTTGTTCAAAGTGCCTAAAATCATGCAGAGATTGAAAAGCACAGAAATTACCTTTCTGAGTTAGCTTTTAGTAATTTTCCTTTCAGTTACTGTTATTCCTTCAATGTATTCTTTTTTTTTCTTCCATTTTGTTATTGTTGAAAAGTCAATATTTTGATTTAATACTCTCTCTTTTTTTTCTTTTAAATTCAGACGGAGTCACATTTTTCACCCTAGGTAGTTTTGTGAAAAGAAAACTGATCAGTTCCTTTCCTCTCCTTCAAATTGATTAACAGTATGATTTTTTTTCTTCTTTCTAAATAAAAAGAAATCAAGTTCATGCAAAATTTTCTCTCAAAAAGCACATACATGTAGTTTGAAGTAAATGAATATTTTATAACATATTTATTATACCCATATAAAAGGCTATAAGTTAGAATTTGCAATTTCATTTCATTTCATGGAGTAATACTATTTTGTTATTTAATATTTAAAAAAAAATTTTTACATAAAGTAAGAAATTGAAAAATGGATAAATTACCTATTATGCAGCATTTTTCGGACTTTATTATAAACTTTTGAAATCCAATATACACACCAATATGTTCAATATTATATTTTCTATGTATGAGAATACAAAAACCAAGATAAAGTTTGCTAATGGTCTCAGTAAATCATTCACATCTGAAAGTGGTGTTAAGCAAGGTGATATCTTAAGCCCATCTCTCTTCAACATTTTTTTTAATGGTATTGTTGATGAACTTAAAACAGGCAATTGTGATCCTGTTCAAATTGGTGAAATCTCTGTAAATTGTCTATTATATGCTGATGATATTGTTTTATTATCTGAAAGTAAAACTGGGTTACAGAATTGTTTGAACATTCTTGAAACATATTGTTCTAATTGGAAACTACTGGTCAATGTTGAGAAGTCTAAAGTCCTTATTTTTAATTCAAATGGTAAATTTTGCATCAATGAGTTTACATATAATGGAAGTGTTCTTCAAACAGTATCAAAATTTTGTTATCTTGGATTAACCTTGAAATGTAATGGAAATCTGAACTTAGCTATGTCAGTACTTATGGAAAAGGCCAGAAAAGCCTATTTTAAGATTAAGAAAACCATTGGTTTGGATAATCCATGTAAACTTTTGGAAAAACTCTTTGACTCAATTATAACACCAGTTCTTCTTTATTGCTGTGAGATCTGGGGTATTTATAATAACATTGGTGAAAATTCTATAGTTGAAAAATTTCACATGAAGTTTATTAAGGAAATTTTAGGAGTACATTATAAAACTACTAATGCTCCCAGCAGAGCAGATTTAGGTAGACATCCCCTGTGGACAAGAATACATTTTTCAAGTATAAAATTTTGGAACCATCTTATTACTTTCAAGAATACTTTAGTATTTAAAATCTATAAAGCAACAGTCAAAACAAACTCATGGACAAAAAATATTTTTTCAATTTTCAATAAGTTAGGATTTTCATTCATTACCAAAAAAGAAAATTCAATAAAATCACTTCTGAGAAACATAAAACAAAGAATATCAGATCAATGCTTACAAGAGGAATATGCAAAGATTCATAAATCATCAAAACTAAAATTTTATCAAGTTGTTTTTAATAATTTCAAATGCTGTGGATACACTGATATATTAAAAAAGAGAACAGAGAGATCAATTATTAGCAGGTTGAGACTTAGTGCACATAACCTTGCCATAGAAAAAGGGAGACATTTGTCTATACCCACAGATAAAAGATTTTGTAATATTTGCAACACAGGGGAGATTGAAGATGAATTTCATTTTCTATTCAGCTGCCATAAATACAATAATCATAGGTTAACTTTTGAAAGGAACTTGATGAATTTTTTTCAAGGAAAAATGTCAAATATGTCTTATACTCAAAAAGTTAAGCTTTGCTTTAATAGCCATTGTCCAGAAATACTGAAAATAACACACTCACTTATTAAAAAATGTCTTGCATCTAGAAATGATTGCATTACATAATTATTATACAAATGATGTGTGATTTATAATTATGTATAGCGTCACATTCTATACTAAAATATTGTATATTTATGTATGAACAATTGATGATTCTTATAATGTGTTGTGCCTTTGCCAATTATTGTAATTGTGTTTGTGCCAATAAGTATTTGTATTTTTTTTTTTCAATACTGTACCTTCCTCTTTCCTTTCTTTTTTAGTTAAGAAGAATATCCTCTTTCTTCTCTTAATATGAATTTGAAAACTTAGTTAAATTGTTTAAAAAAGATCTTATATTTGTAATAAAGCTAGTTGTCTTTTCCATTTTTTCTCTTGAAAAGACTGATCAGTCTCTTCTCTTTTTTACATTTAGAGGAACAAAATAGCAGGGGATGTCTCCAAGACTGTGTCTCACTCCTAACTCAATTTTGCTTCATTTTGATCCCCCCCCCCCCAAACTCATTTTTACTTTGATATTTATTGATTCATACAGCATTATATACATTCACACATCTATGAAATAAGAAAAGTTTTACATATTTTGAAATGAAAAAAGAAATCACCTTCAAGTAGGAGCTTATTGTAATATATTTTGAAATTCTTTTATTTTCTTTTTAGTCATAAGTTTATGAAGGGCAGTATGGAAAGATTTAAGTTTCTGCAGTTTCATTTTCATTTCTTTATGTCAAGGTCATTTCAGACAGCAATATTTATTTTGATATTGTATTTTCAAATAACTTTACAAAAACTGAAAAAATCATATAATCAAGAAAAATTATACCCATTATATTGCACATGTAAATACAAGTTTTTTTTTTACAAGTTAGATATTCTGGGATATTTTCTTCTCTTTTAAATTTTCAAAGGTAGTGAATTATAAATTTCAAAACTCTCCTTTTTCTAATTTTTTTTTTTCACTTTCATACAATATATTAGCAATTCATTGTTTTACTTTCATGTTTGAGAAATATATACATTTAATAAAAGCCTCCCTCTTTTTATGTCTTTGTATTAAAGACACCCATTAACTTTTTCATTAACTTTATAATATAAGCAGTATTTAATTAGTACATAATAACATCGGATAAACAATATGTTAGCAACTTCACATATCTGAATTATTTTGACTGTGTATAAGAATTTGATATTGATAATGACAATGTTGTTGATATATTTAAGTCAACAATTACCTTTTGGTTTTTTCTTTCATTTTATCCACTATTGGTAAAATATTAATTGGCAATTTTATTCATATAGATAAGTTTTATACTGTATTCCTCATTAAAGCTGTAAGTTTTGAAACTGTGTAAGGGTTAATTGAATCAAAGATACATGTATTATTTGCATTTTTAATTGTATTTAGAAACACATATAAATTATGAGCCTTATTGTATTAATGTAGGAGAGAGTTTGTACATTTTAAGACTGCCCATAAGTCTGAAATTTTTATAGAGCAGTGAATTTTTTATCGTGACCTTTAACCATTGACCTCAAGATCAACAGGCCTGTGATTATTTTTAAGATAGAGTCATCAGCTCAAGTTTCATTGCCCTCTTAAATTTTAAATCACTTTTTAATATGTAAGCCAATACATTTTTTTTAAATTCCCTGCACGGATTCTTGAGAAAAAATTGCAGTGATCTCTTAGTTTCATTATTACCTTTTGATATGTTTCAACATAAACACTCTAATAAACCAAATCTGAGTTCTTACTATATTCTCTCTCTTTTTTTCTCTCTTTGATTTGCACAACAGGCCTTAATGTACAAATAATTTTTAACTTTTTATGTAACAGTTTTTATTTGTTTTGGATGCTCTCTCCACAATTTTTTTTTTTTTATTACAAAAGAATTTATTGATAATGCTTTATATTCTTTGCTTTGTACATTTTAATGTTATGCACCATGTGCAACTAAGTATACAAGTAGTGGAGATAGGTTTTTCTAGAGATTCATTTTTTTCTCTCTTGTTTTTCCTCATAAGCATGACAAGTAATGCAATAATTGTAAAAAATCTTTTTCCCATTGTTATATATGATGTGTTCTCAGTTAAGATTTATGATTCATATTAAAATAAACAATTTTTTTTTGTCATGCAATTAAACTTGCTGAGTTCTCACTGAGTCTAAAGGCAGTCTAAGATGTCTTTAAGGATTTATCACAAACCCTCCTTTACTCTGAAATCTTTCATCTCTCCCTGACCTCTTAAGGGTGGGGATGGGGGAAAGGTTTAACTTAAGGAATTTTTTTTAAATGTATCAATAAGGGAGTTTTTTTATTATATTGTAGTAGAAACTGGGAGTGGACTGGCATTTCAGTGATTAATATTATGCTAAATTAACAGTACTGTAGAACATAAGCTTTGGAAAAGGGGGTGCAATGCCCCCCCCCCTCCCCCCATACTACATGCCTATGATTACAATGTACATCATACATATAAATAAAAAAGCCCAGACAGTTATTCCTTATTAGCTCACCTGAGCTGAAAGCTTAAGTGAACTTTTCTGATCACATTTTGTCTGGCATCTGTCTGTAAACTTTTCACATTTTCAACTTCTTCTCAAGAACCATTGGGCGAATTTCAACCAAACTTGCCACAAAGCATCTTTGCATGAAGGGAATTCAAGTTTGTTCAAATGAAGGGCCACACCCTCTTTCAAGAGGAGATAATTAAGAATTGGTGAAAATTTGGTGTCATCTTTTAAAAATCTTCTTCTCAAGAACCTTTGGGCCAGAAAAGTTGAAACTTACATGAAACCTTCATACCATAAAGCAGATTCAAATTTGCTCACATCATAATCACTGGGGTAGGGTGGGACCACAATGGGGGATCAAATTTTTACATAGGAATATATAGGAAAAAACTTTAAAAATCTTCTTCTCAAGAACAACAAAGCCACAATTAGTCATATTGATATGGAAGTATCCTCGGGTAGTGTAGATTCAAGTTTGTTCAAATTATGACCCAGGTGGGTAGGGTTGGGCCACAATGGGGGATCAAAGTTTTACATTGGAATAAATAAGAAAGATTTTTAGCCTGAAGCTCAAGCACATTTTGTCCAGCATCCGTCTGTCTGTCTGTTAGTCAGTCTGTCTGTCTGTCTGTCTGTAAACTTTTAACATTTTCGATTTCGTCTCAAGTACCACTAGGCCAATTTCAACCAAGTTTATTCAAATCATGAGCCTCGGGGGTAGGTGGGGCCACAAATGGATGTCAATGTTTTACATTGGAATACATAGGGAAAACCGTTATAACGCCTTTTAATTTCTTTTTCTTTGTAGATTGATCCTAATAGGCTTTCGTATTAAAAAGATTTAAATAAGGCACATATAAATACAGGTACTTTTCATTGGCAGCTGATTGGGTAAAAAGAAATACTGAAACATATTCCAAGATATTTTACACTGGACAAAAGTTATGTTATCATAATTTTCAGTTATATTTCTAGAATAAATATATATACTAAGAAGTGTTACTCAAGACCTACTAAAAGTTTGTTCTTTTGTCGTTTGTGACCCCCCCTTAAGACCCCCCCCCCCGCGTCAAAATAAGTTATCGAATTATTTGCCTGCAAGGAAATGTGAGAATTAAATGTTTTGTTTTTAAAGGGAAATACTCCTTCTTCCGATTTACCCCTTCCTCGCCTTTACAGTTTAAAAATTCCTAAATCAGTCTTTTTTGTTATTATTGTAAGAACTCTCGATTCCCGCCTATATTTTACATCCATTCAATTCAATATAATTGGCAATCTGGCCATTAAAACTCGTTTGAATGCAAAGAAAAGTTTATAAATTAGTAATGGGTTGATAATTTTAAAAACCAGTGTCTAAAAGTTAATTGCTCTTATATACAACTCCTTTTATTTACAACAAGGGGTTAGAAACAGTTATCAATTGAAATCAGGCTGAAAACATTGTCGGATTTTCAAATACTAATGGAAATGGATAAATGATTCTTAAATCTCTTCGTATGTTTAACTTATGTAAAATTCAACATATAAGATTGATAAAGTACATTTTTAAATTGTTTTCTCCCTTCATTTGAAATTGGTAATAAAATGACTATTTTCCTTTAAACTAAACATAAGTTTAACAAGACAGAAGTTTTACCGAATTAAAACTTATTTCTCTTTGTTTCCCCAAATAAGTACAAATTTTCACCGATTTTGAACTTGAATAACCTCATGTTTCCTTAGTTAAATTAGCTTTAAACTGTGTCTGTTATTTAAATGCGAAGTCGGTAAATAAATTGGGTATTGTTTTAAATTTCAAATATCTTTCAAACGTGATTGATTTAAATTGTGTAATTTACAGGAAAGTCCTATTTTTATATAAAGTAATAAAACAAATAGAAAGATCTTTTTAATTTTAGTTAGTCTGAACTCATAAAAAATACGCCATATATAACTTTACGAAATACGTTTTAGTTGTTTTATTTATGGAGCATGTTAAAATTCGCGTGAAATGTTCTTTTATGTTTGTAACGAAATAAATTTGACCGAGTTGACAACTTCCTTTTTGACCTAAAGTCATCACTTCCGGTTTGAAGACGGCAATCGATGATCATATGATTTAGTGCATTGAAGCAGGAAAAGTAGTCTTCAAAATGGATTATCAGCCAGAAAAACCATCTACTAAACAGATGGGGATATCTATATTCCCTGTTTATTTCATTACGCTATTGCTGGGATCTCTAGCAATACTTATCATCGGTAAGGTTTGCTTGGTGATACAAGAATGTCAAAATTGAAGCACTTTCATATATTGAGTGCCAAGTCTTATAATGTTGTTAAAATTTTTCTCCCGATTTTCTTTTTGAGTGTAAACAAAACTTAATTCATAATCTGTACATATAGATAAATCATGTATGCTCAAGATTTTTAAACAATGGTGCATTTCGAAAACTTGAAGTACAGTTTCTGTAAGATAAAATAATATTAAGCTCATAACATTACATTGCAACTGCACCTCTGGCACAATGAAGGTAAAACCTTTATTAGAACTACAGTATTGTCATACGCTGCTTATATATTGTCTGTGTGTACATTTTTTCTCCCTTAATATATACATATATTTATTTCATCAATATTATGGATCTCTAAAATATTCATTGTGTACCAAAAAGCATATATGTGAATTACATATATACTGCCAGGGAAAGACATTAATGGTTGTTCTTACCTGGGGCAAGTAAAATCTCAGTTTGGGCAAGTGTAGATAGAATGTTCCATCATTAAAGTGATATTGTCAGGTGGACTGGTTTAACGTTCGAGCTGATCCGCTCCATTCTGCTACATTGCAACTGTATTCTAATTGTGGTGAGGGCTTATTCCAAGACACAATTAGATTATTCTAGTCAGGGCAAGTGATACTATCAGTATGAATGTACTTGCTGATCAGGCAAGTAAATATTCCTGATAGAAATGTATATCTTCATCTTACCAGGGTTCGACATTAACTTTAGTCCGTTAGTCTCAGACTAATGCATTTTCATTCGGACTAATAAAATCTGTGGCAAATTAGTCCGAAAGGACCTATAAAAATTTCTGGAAAACAAAATGAATAAATTACTGATGTTCAGTTCTCGACAACGTACTGGAAAACCTCGCATGTATCTTTAGCTTTCTAGCCTCTTGGCGGGTAGTTAGGTAAATTTGAGTCAATTCAGTTAATTTTACGATGTGATATGAAGTTAAATGTTTTAGCGATCATGATTTAGTATGATACATAAAAGAAAAATGTGAGACGTTGTGAGACAAAACATGTTTGATTTTTCTTATTTGATGGACTCATAAAACCGTGCGCAGACTAGTAAAAGTATAGAGGCACTAGTCCGGCCGGACTAAAGCCTAAGAATGTTAGTGGCGAACCCTGCTTACATAGTCGTAAATAAAATAATACAATGAACAATGGAATGCGACATTGCTTTTGCATTCAGATACCTTCAATAGAGTTTGTGTTTTATTAATTATTCCATTTTCTTTCATATTAGCAAAAATGATTGGCTTATATTGTATGATATCCAGTATTGTTTTGTCATTTTCAGCATTTTATTATATGTTAACTGGCAAAGGAACAAGGGTAGATTTTGGCTGGTAAGTATATCAATATTTTTAAAGATATAATTTCTTACTCTGTCTCAATAACTTGATTTTTCTTGCAATGATCAATACATGCACTGAATGACTCGGTGATTATTCAGAAATTTTAAAATCCTTGACCCCAGTACCCAAGAACTTGTTTAGCAAATAGAAATGCTGGAAATCTTAAGAGCCAACATGACATTGTATATATAGGTATCAATTATATATCTACCAGGGTATGTAATAGACCAATCTTAGAATTTAAAGAAAATTTTGTCTAGAATTTTAGTGATTTTTTTTTCTCGGGGGGGGGGGGGGGGGGGGGGGGGGAGGGTATGATCATCTTTAGTAACTACTATAAATGCAAGTTCAGACTTCCATATTCTGATGATATCTTAAGGCAATTCAAAATCAATGAGAAGGACAGCATGCCTAAGAAGTTTTTGACTTAATCAAAATGCCATCAAGGGATTAAAGACTTTAATGTATCAAGTTTCATTAAAAATGAAAAAGTTAAAAATATGTCAAAGTAAGAGGATTTTTGAACTTCTAAGTGCAATTTATGTATCAGAAAACGTAATCAGATATAATATAACAAACTAATATTGCTCATCTTGAACTGGAAATTTCTTCCTCAGAATTGCCAACAACTGCCCTTTCAGGCAACAAGATTTAGTTTTTAGCTCACCTGAGCTGAAAGCTCAAGTGAGCTTTTCTGATCACCCGTTGTCCGTCGTCCGTCCGTCCGTCCGTCCGTCTGTAAACTTTTCACATTTTCAACTTCTTCTCAAGAACCACTGGGCCAATTTTAACCAAACTTGGTACAAAGCATCCTTGGGTGAAGGGGAAATTAAATTGTTAAAATGAAGGGCCAAGCCCCCTTCCAAGGGGAGATAATCAAGAAAAGACAAAAATAGGGTGGAGTCATTAAAAAATCTTCTTCTCAAGAACCACTGGGCCAGAAAAGCTGAAACTTATGTGAAAGCATCCTGGGGTAGTGTAGATTCTAAATTGTTAAAATCATGACCCCCGGGAGTAGGGCGGGGCCACAATAGGGAATCCAAGTTTTACATTGAAAAATGTAGAAAAAATCTTTAAAAATCTTCTTCTCAAGAACCACTGGGCCAGAAAAGCTGAAACTTATGTTGAAGCATCCTGGGGTAGTGTAGATTCTAAATTGTAAAAATCATGACCCCCGGGGGTAGGGCGGGGCCACAATAGGGAATCCAAGTTTTACATTGAAATATGTAGAAAATATCTTTAAAAATTTTCTTCTCAAGAACCACTGGGCCAGAAAAGCTGAAACTTATGTTGAAGCATCCTGAGGTAGTGTAGATTCTAAATTGTTCAAATCATGACCCCCGGGGGTAGGGCAGGGCCACAATAGGGAATCCAAGTTTTACATTGAAATATGTAGAAAAAATCTTTAAAAATCTTCTTCTCAAGAACCACTGGGCCAGAAAAGCTGAAACTTATGTGGAAGCATCCTGGGGTAGTGTAGATTCTAAATTGTTAAAATCATGACTCCCGGGGGTAGGGCGGGGCCACAATAGGGAATCCAAGTTTTACATTGAAATATGTAGAAAAAATCTTTAAAAATCTTCTTCTCAAGAACCACTGGGCCAGAAAAGCTGAAACTTATGTGAAAGCATCCTGGGATAGTGTAGATTCTAAATTGTAAAAATCATGACCCCCGGGGGTAGGGCGGGGCCACAATAGGGAATCCAAGTTTTACATTGAAAAATGTAGAAAAAAATCTTTAAAAATCTTCTTCTCAAGAACCACTGGGCCAGAAAAGCTGAAACTTATGTGGAAGCATCCTGGGGTAGTGTAGATTCTAAATTGTTCAAATCATGACCCCCGGGGGTAGGGCGGGGCCACAATAGGGAATCCAAGTTTTACATTGAAATATGTAGAAAAAATCTTTAAAAATTTTCTTCTCAAGAACCACTGGGCCAGAAAAGCTGAAACTTATGTGGAAGCATCCTTGGGTAGTGTAGATTCTAAATTGTAAAAACCATGACCCCCAGGGGTAGGGTGGGGCCACAATAGGGAATCCAAGTTTTACATTGAAATATGTAGAAAATATCTTTAAAAATCTTCTTCTCAAGAACCACTGGGCCAGAAAAGCTGAAACTTATGTGGAAGCATCCTTGGGTAGTGTAGATTCTAAATTGTTCAAATCATGACCCCTGGGGTAGGGCGGGGCCACAATAGGGAATCCAAGTTTTACATTGAAATATGTAGAAAAAATCTTTAAAAATCTTGTTCTCAAGAACCACTGGGCCAGAAAAGCTGAAACTTATGTGGAAGCATCCTGGGGTAGTGTAGATTCTAAATTGTAAAAACCATGACCCCCAGGGGTAGGGCGGGGCCACAATAGGGAATCCAAGTTTTACATTGAAATATGTAGAAAATATCTTGAAAAATCTTCTTCTCAAGAACCACTGGGCCAGAAAAGCTGAAACTTATGTGAAAGCATCCTGGGGTAGTGTAGATTCTAAATTGTTCAAATCATGACCCCTGGGGTAGGGCGGGGCCACAATAGGTATTACAAGGGGGAAATCGGGTGAAAAACAGCAAGGCCAAAGTTACTCAGGTGAGCGTTGTGGCCCATGGGCCTCTTGTTTTAATAAGATTTTTTATTAAAAACCCTGTCATTGCTTTTCATTAGGATAATTATCAAAGCAGTCTTTCTTTGTTATATTGATATTGACTTAACTTATATCACATTGTTATTTTTTTAACAGGTTCTTTGAAAAAACATCTCCTTACATGTGGGCGTCATTTGGAGTTGGTTTTGCTATTGCATTTTCGGTTGTAGGTGCTGCATGGTAATGATTTTTCTGTTTTAATTTTAGAATTGTAATACAATTTATTTAATCAGCAATGATCTTTAGAGATGAAAGGAAAATTAAAATACTTGTCTTGATCATATATAGTAAGAAAAGAAATTTCATTTCAAAAATAAAAATAGCAATGACTTAGTCAAATCTAATTTTTAAAATAAACAGTTTATGTTGATTACATTGTTTATTTAAAACAAATATTATGTAAAAGGAATATTATATTTACTAGGAACCTTTATGCAAAGTTTATGTTATTGAGTAAATTATAAACAAAACAGCTGTGTTGGAAGTGCAAACTTCATGTGAAAATGCAGTTATGAATGAGAATGTTGCTTGTAGGGGTATATTCACAACTGGTGCTAGTATACTGGGAGGGGGAGTGAAGGCCCCCCGCATCAAAACCAAGAACCTGATCAGCATTATCTTCTGTGAAGCTGTAGCTATTTATGGAATCATCATGGCTATTATCATTGGACAAAATATTGGAGTAAGTCTAAATGGGTTCCAAGTACAAATTGTAAGCTAATCAAATTCATATTTCATACCTAAAACTTAGGAAACTAAGAATGTTTGAATGCAGACTTCATGTGTAAGATTATGCTTGTTATATCCAGTCAAAGTCCAAGATAACACAATAAAAAATTATCTGTTGAAATTCAATTTCATTTTCAAATTAAGTTTGGAGGTCATTGTTTAAGATACATTTTATACAAGGTTTTGGGATAAGTATATACAAAACTCCTTTTCAGGCATTTGACATGGAGAAAGACTCTGAACAAGTCATTAGAGACAGCTATGATGCAGGTATTTAAAAAAAATTTGTTTATGGATTGGTTTTTTTTTTAAATCAAACTAACATTTCAGTGACCATCTGATTGTATTTAAGTTATTTCATAAAGATCTGCATTTACTTGTAAATGTATGAATTAAAGTTAATTTAGAATACAGTTGAACTTTGATATCACAAACACCAATATCTCGAATACAATGGATATGTCGATTGAATTGGAAGTCCCATCCACTAATTCTTTAAGTATTTTACCCTTGATATCTTGAAACTTTGGATATATCTAAGTTTATTCTCGGGCCCATGCAGGGATCGACATTACCGATTGTCCGATTGCCAGGGACAAGTAAATTCTCAGTTCGGGCAAGTGAAACTGTCAACTTATTTGTCCGATCGGGCAAGTGAATTTTTCTGATAGAAATGTATATTGGTATCTATTTTATATTAATTATAAATAAAACAATAGATTGAACACTTGATTTCCGCCAGATACGTGACTGACATTGCTCCCTTGGAATTCTAGATTATATCGTTCATTAAAAATCGGGTTCGTTTTTCTTTTTTTATTTCATGTTAAATACGCTCTACGTACTTTGTTAACTACTTAATTGAATATAACATGACCTATCCTGATCAAGATATGTATGTTTCATAGCAACTATCTTCCTTAGCGTTGCATCAATCAAAATTCACAAAACAAAACGATCCTACCCAAAATGATTTTTTATTAAAAAGGAAACGGATGGTTATTGATGCATTGCAGTGTGTGTTTATAGATTAAATCGACAAGGAAGTGGTAGTATACATTTATGTCCAAACGCACCATCTAAATTTTTTCAGGTACCTCAACTTGCCAGATTTATAGTAGTGTATCTGTTCATACTTTTTCTTATAATAATTTTTTTTCCTATTTGGGCAACCAAGTTTTGCATTCGGACAAGTCAAAATTTGAGATCACTTGCCCGAAGGGCAAGTGAATCTGAAAGTTAACGTCTATCCCTGCCATGGAGTTTGATATAACAAGGTTTGACTGTATTAGGATATGAAAGATGTTAATAATGATCATTCAGGAAATGCTTTTGTACTAAAATTAGACAAAGTCTGTCGAAGTTGAACTGAAAGAGGAAAAAAGTTGTGTCTCACATGATTATTAATACTTGATGTATTACAGGTTTCCGTATGTTTGCGGCTGGACTGACTGTTGGCGTGTCCAACATTGCCTGTGGTATCACAGTGGGAATCGTCGGCTCTGGGGCGGCCCTAGCTGATGCTCAGAACTCCACATTATTTGTCAAAATCCTGATCTTGGAAATCTTTGCTAGTGTTATTGGTCTCTTTGGTGTCATTGTTGGTATTTTACAGGTATAGTTGACTTTATTATTATGACAGATATATTTTAAAATATTTTTGACTAGGGTTGGATACCGTTAAGGATGAAACGGTACGATACCATACCAGTATTTTTGAGGCGATACGGTATTTTTAACGATACGGTAATGAGAATGAGGGTTCATTTTATAACAAATGTGCTTTCACTATTCACTAACCTATCCATGTTATAATCTAAAATGAGCTTATAAACTATGTTCCATACTTTCAAGAGATAACAATAGATATTCCTAATATTCAAACAACAAACATTTCACTTCAACCTTTTAATAATGATCAACAGAACAAATAAATTGAATCCCAAACAAATTAATTTGCACAAATCGGCTGACTCCTTCACCCGCTTGCCAGGACCCATTTTGTTTGATCGCACTAAATGACGAAACATTAGATAATGGAAAGATCACATTTTGAGACATTTTGCCTAGTTTTTAATTTACATTTATTATTAGTTTTTATAAATAAAATTAAAACAAGATTCATGTGAATGTAATTTAATTTTTTTTTCAAATATACCTATTGATTTACCTCGAAAGTCGCAAGTAAGTATCGTACTAAGCATCCATTTTGTTAATTAGCCTACCCTTTAAATGCACGGAGAATTTGATTTAAGCAAGTCTGGAATTGCTTTTTATGCCCCTGGATCGAAAGATCCCGGAGGTATATTGTTTTTGTCCTGTCTGTCTGTTTGTCTGTCTGTTGTCAATTTTAACCTAGCCCATAACTATTGCACTGTCAAGGGTAAGGCTTTAATATTTGACATGAGTGTTCATTATGACAAGACCTTTCCATTGGTACAGAAATTTTTGATCATGTGACCTCAACTGTGACCTTTGACATACATTTGAAAAACTTTAACATTGGCCATAACTATTGCACTGTAGTCTACGTCCCACTCCAGAATTGTGTTACCATCGGGGGCATAGTGTTTCACAAACACATCTTGTTTTAAAAATCATTTTGAAAGTATTAGAATGTTTCAAAGATTTAAGAAGTACCCTTATTAGTACCGGTATTATATGAAACAGTATTTTACCAGTATTTTTGAAGTAACTATTCGGTACGATATTGGTACCGAGTACCGGTATCCAACCCTATTTGTGACTGTACTGGATGTGTGATAATAGTATATGTTAAATAATCATATATTTAAGAAAAAAATGAATATTCAATCCAGTTTTTGTTAAATTTGGCAATTATGAGCTTATGATTTTTATTTATTTTTTTCTGTGTATTTCAGATTGTTGGAATAAAGATGGGGTCAGACTAGAAGAAAGGACAAATGAGCTCAGATACAAATTATTTATCAATCTTTAATATATAAAACATGACATATACCTACCTATATTGTGAGGCCTGCACTGCTTCAAGTGATGCCCTGATTCTAGTCTTCAGGAACAAGTCTAGACTGTTTTAATTATGAGTCATTGTATGATATTGTAGAAATGTTGTTGATCAAGATGTTAGATAGACATAATCCAGAACACATTCCACATACATAATCAGAAACATTTTGTAGTAGTGAACTGGAGTTATCGATAGTTACTTTATATTTGCTTCCTTACAGTTGTGCATCTCATTATGGTTTCACTTAGAAGTCCCACTAGTATTCAATCAATTATAGTTCAGTTATGGGTAAATTGTTAAAAGTATTACTCTGAGGAGGGTTTTTTTTTTTTACTGGTATAGTTTATTGAGAATTTGTGAATAATTTTCCTATAATTGTAAAAAGAAATATTTGTACAGAGTGATGAAACAGAGCATGGATTGCTGTTTTGTGTTACTATTTAGTACCCATCGTCGCAGAGTCAAATATTTCTTTGGGTTTATGTAACAGACTTGTTAAAAGTTCTAGTTACGGTTGGAAATCTTGTATATAAAATATCTTGTATATGTAATAAATTCTTACAGTCACTTGTTTCTTGTTTTTCTCACAGTTGCAGTAATAAATGCATTGGTTTGTTTATTAGAACCTGGTTAAAATTTAAATCTTGAATTCTTTGTACACAATCTTGATCGTAGAACAACCATTCTAAATGATCGTGTGCAGTTAAAGTTGCAGATGGGTGCTGTTTTTATTTATGAAAATCCGAAAAGAAGGTAGGTGAACAGGGCGAGTGAAATGCCTATAGTGCGACAAATATGAAGGTGAAAAATTAAATCTCAATTATAACAAAATTTTCTTTGATATTTCATCTAACATTAAAGTATATGTAAAATCTCCACAATTTGTTAAAATCTCACGAAGATTGAAATTGTAGCATACACACAGCAAAGAGGGGAAAAAAGGATCATTTTTTCATACCATAATACAATTTTTAGCTTTGAGTGGGTCTTCGCTCTATTTTTTGGAAAATCTCAAAGTTTGCCTAAAATATACATCGTTTGGTTAATAAAAACATGGAGCAAAAGACCCACCATATCTTACAAATACACTTTTATGACGCAACATTCGCATCTTTCTGAGAAATACTTGGTCAATTTGGGCAAGGATCATACAGTTGTGTAGCGTAGTGGTTAGCTTTTTAGTCTCGAAGGAAAATGATTCTCAGGATTGATAGGGTTCGAACCCCAAGAATACCACATTGTTTTTTAAATAATAGAATAATTTTTGACGAGAAAATTTTTTTCTTTCAGAAAAATGTTTGTCATAATTTCATTAATGAGAACTTTTCTCTAAATACTAAGTTCACAAATTGAATATGATTTTTATAAATCTGAAGCTATAGGCATTCTGCACGCCTTGTTAACCCATCTCCTTTAATGTATTCGTGATTAAAAAAAAAAGATAATGTACTTTGTTGACATAATTTGAGAATTGCAACTCGATGAACAATGATTTTCCCTGGGATAAGGTTGCCAAATGAAATGCACGTTAGTGTTGCAAAGACAGATGTCATGATTACAATACTCTTACAAATCACAAACTCTTCGAGCGCTTTTTGAACAACAGTGCATAAAGAACAACATTTTAAAATAAAAACAGCCAGACATCGGTTTAGTGAATATATTCAGGCCCGTAGGAAGCAATTTCAGATTGGGGGGCACAGCCATACATTTTTTCAGTTGACAGTTGAGGGGGCACTATCAAAAATTTTCCTGACAAGCAAAAGAAAAAAAGAAAGAAAAAAAGTTCATCAGACGTTTTTATTGAGGGGACACAAGCATATAATATCTATGTATACTATAGTAATCTATATATCGGCAAAATTATTGGGGGGGGGGTGGGCACGCTCCCCCCGGTTCCTACGGCCATGTTATATAACTCGTCAAGGATTTTATAGTATTATGCCATCAAAAAAGAAGTCATGATAGAGTATTAATATCAAAGATTTTTTTTTTTGTTTGCTTTTTTAATCATTCCACTCGTGTGCATGAAATATCGGAGGCAATTTCTTGTATTAAATATAACAAGGCTCCTGGGTTAGACAACATTTCCAATCATATGATTAAGTATGGTCACAACGCCATACTACCATCTTTAAGAAATATCTTCAATGCTTGCCTGTCACATGGACTTTATCCTAAATCATGGGCTGAGGGATATATAACTGTTCTGCATAAAACGGGGGATATCAATAACCCAAACAATTACCGTGGCATTATCATCACTAGTGCAATTGGTAAATTATAACAGTATATTGAATAAAAAAGGCTAGACAAATATCTAACGAAAAACAAAATTATCAATGATTGTCAAATCGGTTTCTGTAAAAAGGCAAGAACATCTGATCACATGTTTATTCTAAGAACTTTATTTGAAACATACTGCTCTCAAAAAGAAGGACGACTCAATGCATGTTTCATTGACTTTAGAAAGGCATTTGACACAGTTATACATGAAGGTATCAAAATTAAATTGCTAGAAATTGGTGTTGGATCTAAATTTTACAATATAATCAAGAGTATGTACAATTGTAGCAGATCATGCATTAGGTTAAACAATCAAGTCACTGAAACTTTCCCTATCAGTTTAGGGGTTAAACAGGGAGACAATCTGAGTCCAAATTTATTCAAAATTTTCATCAACAATCTTCCAGAATACTTCAGTAATATTACAGATGACAATATTCAGTTAAATGACAAATTACTTCACTGTTTAATGTATGCAGATGATATAGTTTTATTGTCCAAGTCTTCTAAAGGTCTTCAGCAGAAACTTAATTGTCTTGAAAAGTTTTGTACTGACTGGTGCCTTGATGTAAATATATCAAAAACCAAAGTACTAATTTTTAATAAAGCAGGTAGACACCTGAAAGAAAACTTCACATTAAACAAAGAACCTCTTGATTGCACTGCTTCTTATAAATACTTGGGCATTCATTTTACTGCATCTGGAAGTTTTACACTTGCTCAGGATGAACTTTGCAAAAAAGCTACAAAGGCACTTTTTAAATTACAAAAAAATTTCCTATCATTGAACCCTAAAATAAACACAGCTTTACACGTATATGATCATACAATAAAACCCATACTACTTTACGGTAGTGAAATTTGGGGGGCACTTAACACCACTACGGCACGGTTTAGAAATGGACCTGTTGCACTGGATGAATTATTTGCTAAATCACTTTGTGAGAAATTACATTACAAGTTTTGTAGATTTTCATTAGGCGTAAATAACAAAAGTACAAAATTTGCTGTTCTTCCTGAATTAGGTAGACACCCTATGAGTTTCAGTATTGTTCAGCATATTTTGAATTAATGGCATAGGTTAGAAAATTTGGATGACACATATCCTCTATTAAAAGCTGCATACACCGCCTCAATATCCAATTTCAACAAAAACAAATTATCATGGTTTGGTTCTATTGATATATTCAAACAACTTCTTCCTCAGTTAATGCCTCATCTGAAAGCATCTACATCAGCCTTTAAATATCATTGTAAACGCATTCTTCATTCATATTTTCTTGAAAAGTGGTATCAAAAGAAGGAACAATTAAGTACTTGTGGGAAGTTAGACACTTACTGCACAATCAAACAAAACTTTGGGCTAGAACCTTATTTATTAATCTTAAGAACATTTGAGAAAAGGAAGATTTTAACAAAATTTCGAATCTCTTCTCACAATCTGATGATTGAAAAAGGTCGACATAATGGTATACCAAGAGAAGAGAGAATATGCCCCAATTGTAAATTAATTAAAAGAGGTAGAAGATGAAATACATTTTCTTTTGGGTTGTCCATGCCATAGTCTATCAAGAATTAATTTACTCTCCACAATATCTCTGAGATCTCATCTTTTTAATAGTTTGTCTAAAAGTAACCAATTTTTATGGTTAATGAACTGTGAAGATGTTGATGTGCTGTGCAATTTGTGTGAATTTATAAGTCATGTGTAGGTAGACAAATTCAAAGTCACATGTTGATCTTGACTTTATTTACATATACTTTGATTTAATACTTATACTACAGTATGTTATGTTGTTAATATGCGTATGTTGTATACTCTGCATTGGGCAGAAGTGGATTAATTAAAATGATAATACTATCCTTCAGCACTGACTCTTGCTGTCCATTGCAGTTTAATATAATTTACACATGCCATTCAACATACAATTTTTTTTAAAATTATTATTACTATTATTATTATTGCTATTATTATTATTATTATTTTTTAAATACTATTTTCCATAGATTATGTATCTGTTTATTCTACATGAGGCAGAAGTGGATTTCTGTATATCCTTTAGCACCGTCTCTTGCTGCCTCTTGTTGATGTATCAGACATTTTTTATGTGTTCAGTTATATGTATAATATTAGTGATAGTAATGCACATCATTGCACATTAAGTTGTATCAATTAAGAGTACAGATATATCTTAAATCAAGACAACCTAAGTTTATATATGACACTCAAAACACCACCAATGTACTAAATGGAAGAATTGATCTTCATTATATGTTGTATTCTGTCTGTTATCCTATCTGTAATTATACATGTTATATATGTTTATGCCCATTGGGCCCTGATTTTGGTAATAAATCCTATTCTATTCTATTCTATTCTGTGCACGAATTAGTGCTTGACATGTCTGGTGTAGTTCAATATAAAAGTAAAGGCAGGGAAGAAACCAAACTCAACATGATTGAATCTAGCGTTACCTACTCCGGGGTATTATAAATTAGTATAGCAGTATATCTGATTTTCCATAAATATACTGACACAAATATTGCAGGAAGTTTTAAAAACATTCATTCACAGATGGTAAGAGAGGTGTTTGTTTACGGAAGTGAAAAATGTTGAATTTCTTTTATTCTAAACTTGTACCAAAAGGACGCAGATCGTAGATAAAAATAGAATAAATTTGTACCATGACCTTAAAAGTATACAAGAGAAAAAAATGCCAAACTAAATACAGAAAGAAACACAAAGAGAATCTCTTAAAAAGTATAGAAGTAATGTTTGTAACAGAACACTGAGAAAATTTCATAGAACTAGTCTGATTTCGGTCGGGGGAGGGTCTAAAATTTTCAGTTTATTTTACTTTATTTAGTTTTATGGATAAATAACACAAACGAACGGACCCCCCTCCCCTCGGAGCAGCAAATAACGAAAAATTGACCCCTCTAAAGTTTGCTACAAAAGCCAAAATATCAAGAAGAGTGGCTTCCCTATGAGACCCTCCCACCCCCGGGTATTATTTTTTGTTTCTTTTGATTATCAATAAAATTTCTGAGTCAATTTTCTTGTTGGAGTGTCTCATTTTCACAATGTTAAGGTTTTGTGATATCCGTTCCTCTACACAAAGGGCAAGGAAGAGGAAAGATATCACAAAAATCTTGAACGCCCCCACCACACCCCATTCCCCCTTCCCCTAAACAATCGCTGGATCTCGCAATCTAAACGAATTCTGCATAAAGATATATCGTTTAATTGTTTGTTTGTTTGTTTGATTAAGTATACTGTATGTGCGGTTTGGTCCCAGTTTTTCATTTTACAGTAACTAAATATAATTACTTCTCAGAAACTTTTTAATGTCACGAGGATAAATATTGTCTAGATACGTCACGACGACGGGGATTCCCATTTTATTTCTAGGCACTGACTTTCACTGCTTCGTAATCAAAGATAAGTTTATACACCAGATCGGCAAAAAGACTATTCAGGATACGGTAAATTTTTGTTATATTTTATGTTGTTTTCATTCTCTGCAAGCAATTGCTGAAATACCGTAGATTTTATAATACATATGTAGACGAAAAAAGGTAGGTCTATATATAGGTCAATCAGGGGCAAGTAAACAACCAAAATTGTTCATGTTTTGTGTCCAAAAAAACTCTTCAGAGAATGGAACATAAAATATACTTCCAGAATGTGGTCAAACAATTATCATTCTTCATTTCAGTCTTACCATTGTAAGGCTATTGCATGTCTTTAAAATATGAACTTTTTACAAATTGTACAGTGCACTTGGACAAGTGCCAAATACCATTACAATGCAGTTTTTGCAATAAAGAAGGAAATATACGGAATGGAAGAGCTGTCTACACATTTCGATACCCATAAGTGCCAAAAAATATCATTCGAATCACTTTGGTCAATAAAGGACGAATCTTTTCAGTAATAAGATCGGATATATCAATATCTAGTGATATATATATATATATATCTTTAAATATAGCGAACTCAGTTAAAAACAATCTTTTTTTTTTAATCTGGGACCTTTAAAAACAGTACGACTACCTTATTTTGAAACTTGGAGTTTTACTGAGACGAACTAAAATCCCTCTTTTAGATTTATTAGTACAAAGTTAAAATCTATATGAAATCTAGAGAGAATTGCCACCATATATATATATATATATATATATATATATATATATATATATATATATATATATATATATATATATGGAGAATTGTTTTCTGGCGTCCACGTTTAGGGATTTGGGTACTTTTATGGAAGGATGTACAAAATATAATACATGCATGTACATGTACGTATATATGAAATAAAAAACCGTGCAGACAATACTGTTTGATGCATTATATTGAAGTTAAAAAAAGAGATGTCTGTCCTTTTTCACGATAATCTTTATATTTAGCCTGCTCATCAATTGTAAGTCATATCTACTAAATTATAAATGCATGTATATTTTTAGGTTAAAGTACATTTAGACATTTTCCCCACAGTATGAATCCGGAGGGCGCTGCTGGTATAACCCTGGGGTCCACTACCCCACATTATGGATGCGACGTTCTACAGGCGATCAACAGAGGTAGATTTCCATGTAGTTTATGTTTACGATCTTTAGGCAAAAATCCATAATCAGGATCGAAAAATAGTTTTTGTAGACTCCTCTAGAAATCAATTCATGAATACACATTCAATTCGCAAATATATTATTGTCCTCTGAGTATTATCCCGGTAAGATGTATCTTTTTTTTTAACATATCGATCATTTCCTAAGCTATTTATGTCAATTGTAGATTTAGAACAGCGAGTTTCTATACAGCAAGAAGAAATTGACATCTTAAAACAAAAGGTATACAATACACATGTGTGCACAAATTTCTGTTTTATTGAATATCAATTTAACCTTTTAATGATGTTAAACTCTTATATGATTGGGGGGGGGGGGTATTACAAGCATTTGTTTTACGTAAACATCTGAAAAATTTAATTGTAACCACAGGCTGGCATTGATTGGCTTTCTCATGTTTTCCACATTTACACCAAATGTTGTCAGCATATTTTACTTTTATTACAGTTATTAAGCTTAGAAGCAGACATTTTAATCAAGCAACACGCATTAACCAAAGTTGCAATGCAGGAACAAGAAATCCAACTGCTGAAAGAAATTGTCCTAGAAAAGGAGAAATGGCGGGAACAGGCTAATGATCTCAGCCAGGACAACGATCGTCTGCGACAAGTTAACGAGGATCTCATGATAGAAAACAGGAGACAGCGTCAGATCATAGGAGAATTGGAAGAAAATGTAAATTTGTGTTCAAAATTAATTGTAACTTTTAAATTAATTATAGAAATGAATTCTTTATTTTTTTTTCTTTAGACTTACACATCTTCGCTAGACTTACAGCGCAATTCCCAAAATAAATCTCATTGAGCAACACTATAAAAGAAAAATGAGTTTTTCATGCAAGAATTTGATAGCATATAACAAAAAATACAATTTAAAAAATTATAATGCTAAGTCTCAAAATATTTTCATTGATTTTATTAACTAGATAAACATTCATGATAGCATTTTTTGTGGACAGATGAAGCTGATGTCAACAATCCTTGACCTGAGGACGACAGAGTTGGAGCAAGAGAAGAAAAACAAACTTCACCTGAAGAGGAAGCTTCATGTGCTCTCCACAGCTGAGGAAACCCCCGAGTGTCACGGTCGATTTAAGCGCCAGTCCCTGAAAGATTGCCCTCGCTGCCATGCAGAAATTTCGTCCACCAATCTCTGCAGATATCATCCCAAAGCACCAGTCAAGCTAGACGGAACATATCTATTTCCATGTTGTGGGCAGTCTGGAAAATCTGAACCCGAGGGTTGCCAGAGCAGCAACCATCACTTTATGGTTTTTGGTACCTGACATGCTGGGCGTAATTTATACTCTTATCTTTGTCCAACCCTTGGAAATGATATGCAAAATAATGGGACGTCAAAATGATTTCAACAAATCAAAGTTATGTTATTCTTGGCGTTCTAAACAAGGGCATCCCCCTTCCGTGATTCTGCATTGTAAATGGCTTTCTTGAACCTGAGAGAATATTGAGTTCAGTACTTATCTAATTTATATGATCACATATAAATTGAATTCATACAGTTTTATATGTGTATTTAAAACTGAGATTAGAATTATTTAGCAGTATTTTCATTTTCAATATTGAACAGTATTTTCATAATCAAGATGCGAGATTGCTTCATTGAAATTTACTTTATCATGTATTCTATCAAATTTCAGTAAAACCACAAAGAGATTTATTTATTTATTTTGCTTGAATATATGTTATGTTATTTTTTTCCATTTGACATTTTTTGCAATGTACTATCCCTTTTTAGCAGTGCAAAGGACACTGTTTACTAAGGCAGCGCAAAACGAGAAGGGATTCTCCATAATCAAGCCTTGCTGATCAACCGTTTTTATGAGTGAAATTGAATGGAAGAAATTCTTCACAGAAACGATTTTTAGCTCACCTGAGCTGAAAGCTCAAGTGAGCTTTTCTGATCACCCGTTGTCCGTCTGTCCTTCCGTCTGTCTGTAAACTTTTCACATTTTCGACTTCTTCTCAAGAACCACGGGGCAAATTTTAACCAAACTTGGTACAAAGCATCCTTGGGTGAAGGGGAGTTTAAATTGTTAAAATGAAGGGCCAAGTCGTCAATCAAAGGGGAGATAATCAAGAAAATACAAAAATTGGGTGGGGTCATTAAAAAATCTTCTTCTCAAGAACCACTGGGCCAGAAAAGCTGAAACTTATGTGGAAGCATGTTGGGGTAGTGTAGATTCTAAATTGTTCAAATCATGACCCCGGGGGGTAGGGCGGGGCCACAATAGGGAATCCAAGTTTTACATTGAAGTATATAGGAAAAATCTTTAAAAAATCTTCTTCTCAAGAACCACTGGGCCTGAAAAGCTGAAACTTATGTGGAAGCATCCTGGGGTAGTGTAGATTCTAAATTGTTCAAATCATGACCCGCGGGGGTAGGGCGGGGCCACATTAGGGAATCCAAGTTTTACATAAAAATATATAGGAAAAATCTTCTTCTCAAGAACCACTGGGCCTGAAAAGCTGAAACTTATGTGGAAGCATGCTGGGATAGTGTAGATTCTAAATTGTTCAAATCATGACCCGCGGGGGTAGGGCGGGGCCACAATAGGGAATCCAAGTTTTACATTGAAATATATAGGAAAAATCTTTAAAAAATCTTATTCTCAAGAACCACTGGGCCAGATAAGCTGAAACTTACTTGGAAGCATCCTGGGGTAGTGTAGATTCCAATTGTTCAAATCATGACCCCTGGGGGTAGGGCGGGGCTACAATAAGTACTACGGGGGGGGGGGGGATCAGGTGAAAAACAGCAAGGCCAAAGTTACTCAGGTGAGTGCTGTGGCCCATTGGCCTCTTGTTTTAAAGGTTTTAATTCATAGACGAAATCAAAAGAAAACTACAACAATGCAAACACATATCTATACATCCATTCACTCATCCTACATGAAACTTGCTTTAATAAATTCATATACATTGTACATAATATGTAGCATTAACTCGGAAGATGCTTTTTGCTCAAATGGTAATAAAAATTGCTTTGTACTGTATTTCGTTTGTCTCTGTTGTCATTAAAGCAAAAGCTGAGTAACCAGACCTTTGTAAAGAATACACGTATTTGTGATGCCGTTTACCATGATCTGTCCTTAAAACATGTCAAAACAATGACAGAATCATGCAGAATTAAACAAAATTATATCGAAATGTCCTCTCAGGGAAAGGGGGGGGGGCTTAAAGAACTCTGCTTCATGATTTTAGGGCAACCATTTCTCAAAATTTGAAGAAAGATAGGAGCGTTTTTTAATAAAGGTTGTATGCAGAGAACGTAAAACGCCCATACTGTAGAATAGCTGGTTGTACAGCGAGCTGAGTAGTCGGTAGTTTTAGTGGGAGAGAATGTCTGTAAATAAGGACATAGGGTCGAAATTGTACCGCTTTACCCTAGGGAGTGGACAGCCCATCGGGTTCAAAAGAAACCATATACCCATTTTTTTCTTATTACTTTTCCCCTTCAGTCATGTTTCAAAAATTGTTGCTAATGGTTTTATCAAGCGGTAGAATAAATATATATGTATATATTAGATTGATTTTGCCCTGCAGGCCCGGTCTGTCCGGAGATGTAGATTATTGTAACTAGCCGTTCGTTTGTTATTGTTTCGATTCTTCTAACAAAGTGGTTCGTGATTTGTAACACCCTATTGAATCCCCGGTATCGGTTCAACGGGGGGAAGGGGGGATAACTAACTAAAAGAAGTCTTTAAAAATTTTGAAAAGATTAAAATAAATAAATGGAAAAAATATGCAAATGATTTTAAAAGTAATGGAAATAGGCAGCACAGTGAAATCGGGGGATGGGGGTGTTCCATTGTCATTAATTTTCGACAGAGAATTTAATGAGCACAATACTATGAAAGGTTTAACCATACTGCAACAGAGAGAGGACAAGGACAGTTGGCCTTGGAATGACTATTTTCCCATTCAAATTAATAACAAAACGTTCGAGCTAAAAAAGGTCGGTTGGCATCTTGCTTTTGGGGAGAGGAGATTGTGTTTTTTGGGGGGATGAAATTATTCATGCAATACAAACCTTTGTTTCTTTTAAAGAACCAAATGCACACGTGAAAAGGGGAAAACAAGATGTGTTTGTGAAACACTGATGCCCCCGTATGGCAACATATAGCAAATGTTAAACTTTCTCAATTCAAAACAAATATGTTGATACCTAAAGTAAGGTCTTGCCTGTGAAATATGAAAGGCCTAGCAGCAACCATTGAATAGATATGGAAAAGGTTAAAGTTTTTTTCAAAAGTATGTCAAACATAAAGGTCAAGGTCAAATGATTAAAATAAATGGTGCCCAAGGAAAGGCTTTCTCCCAAGAAATACACAGGTGAACTATGAAAGCCGAAACACCAATCGTTCAAAAGTTATGACCAAAGTTAAAGTTTTCCAAAAGTAGCTCAAACTCCAAGGTCAAAGGGTCAAAGTTGTTGGTATCCAAAGAAAGGTCCTGTCACAAGGATTACACATGTGAAGTATGAAAGCCCTAGCACCAACCGTTCAAAAGTTATGGCTAAGGTTAAAGCTTTCCAAAAGTAGGTCAAACTCCAAGGTCAAGGCCAAAGGGTCAAAGTTGTTGGTATCCAAAGAAAGGTCTTGTCACAAGGATTACACATGTGAAGTACGAAAGCCCTAGCACCAACCGTTCAAAAGTTATCGCCAAGGTTAAAGTTTTTCAAAAGTAGGTCAAACTCCTAGGTCAAGGTCAAAAGGTCAATGTTGTTGGTATCCAAAGAAAGGTTCTGTCACAAGGATTACACATGTGAAGTATGAAAGCCCTAGCACCAACCGTTCAAAAGTTATGGCCAAGGTTAAAGTTTGGTAAAATTTTGCAAAGCTGGATCAAACTCCAAGGACATGGTCAAAAGGTCAAATATGGTGGTACCCAAAGAAAGGTCTTGTCACAAGGAATACACATGTGCATGTGAATATGAAAGCCATAGCTCCAACCAATCAAAAGTTATGGGCAAGGTTAAAGTTTTTGCGAACAAACAGACAGACGGACGGATAGAACTATATACCCCCAAATCTTCGATACGGGGCATAAAAAAAACTTATGATTTGTGTTTGTGTATGTAAAAACATTTTAGAATGACTTGTAAATCTAAACGAATCATTATAGTATAATTTATCTAATACCGAACACGCCGAAACTAACGTAAACAAAGTCGGTGAACCTGAAATAAATATTTGGATGTCTAATTAAAAATAGCAACTTAGTAAGTATTCTATCGGACAAGAAATGATTTTTTGATACCTGAGATGTTTGAAGACTGCCTAAAATAAGTTTATTGAAAATTTATATCATCAAATATAAGGCCAGGTGTTGTGAATGTAGGCACATAAAATAAAAAAAAAATCATAAAGCTATAAATATGCATCTTTCTAAATCCATTGCCAATAAAATTGCTCTAACGTGCATTTGAATTTTGCTTTAAATCCCAAAAAGCATATGTAATGTGTATATTATCCTTTGTCTTGTCGTGTGTTTTCAATGTTCAACTCAGTGGTTTACTTTTATTTGGATCTACACACATGTAAATCCCAATATGAAATGTATCAACTGTATTGATATCATCTGGTTAAATATATGATGTGAATTGCATTCATCTGAATCAAAAGACTTAAGTTCAGGAGAGTTAGGCCAAAAAAAATAATAGTCTTGTTTCCTGCTACCAGCCTGAAAAAAATACGGTAGGTAGGTAGGAAAATTATTTATTTTATTTTATATTTCTATTTTATTTTTTCCTGACAACATTTTTTGGATATGAACTAATAAAAGATAAAATTAAACATGTCACAGGTCAATATTGTCTTTCAAAATCAAATTTCATGTCTTTTTATGCACAACTCAAGTGGTATTTATGAAAGTCCATATTTAAAACAAGAATTTCATGAAATGCTTGTTTTGTGTTAACACGGAAAACGATTACGGCTACAGAACAATGAAATTCCGTAAATTCTCGTTTTTTTTCCTTCCAAAACTTAAAAAAAACTTTAGGGTCGGGTGCAAAAAATAGGGTAGGTCGGGTAGCAGGAAACAAGACTATTATTTTTTTTGGCCTTACAGTTATGTATACCTGTTAAGGTCAACCACTGAGTCAACTATCTAGAGTTTGGGAATCTAGCTGGTCTCAAACCCTGGCATCTCATTTTCTCTCATCCAACATTTGCTGCTTTGACCATCCCTTGGAAACAATACATAAACAAATACAAAAAGATCAGTCACAGAAAAGTCTGCAATTGATGTCATTGTGGTGATGAATCATGTAGAGTTGGATACTTTTTTCACTGCTGGTCATGTGACTTAGTTGAAAAAGTATTTTTTAGAGCTCAGGAACCCATGTTTGAATTCTGATCTGTTTCTTTCCTTTTTCTCTCACCCAGTTACACTTGAATCAATGACACATATCTAAGCTAAATGTACAGATAAATGTATATATGTAAAAAGATGTGCATTTAAATATTGGGGAAATTATTTGTTACAAATGTTAACCATATGAATTAAACTTGCCAAGGATATTTAATAGTTGACTAAAAATGATATTTTTTTTATCATTAGGGACTGAAAATGAATGTTGAAGTGGTTGGACGAATCCGACCTCCTATCAGAGCTGAGGGACCAGAGTCTTTGGTCGTAGAAGGTCAAAGGATTGCTGCCAAATCTGGAGGTCCTTTTTTAAAGTATGTTTTCTTTAATGGTACTAGTAATTTGAAAGTAATCAGTAATGCATAAAAATTTCAATAGATCTAAAAATTAAACAATTCTTGATAACCTTAGTTTGAGGAGTTTCCTAGTATCTAAAACTCTCCATTCCTTGTGAGTTAATCATCAGCAAGGTCATAACTCATAAGACAATTGTAGTGGAATAAATTCATACTGTACCAATATTTTTAATTGTTTGTTTTTCATTCAGTCTAGCCAATCTGCACAGAAAAGATGCTACAAACTATGATGTATACAAACACTCTGTGGATGACCTGCTTGATCTATATATGGCAGGATTCAATGTGTGCTTACTTGTTATGGGGGAGAGTGAGTCTGGAAAAACTTTTTCTATACAAGGGGAGAGCACTCACAAGGCAGGACTTGTTCCACTGATTCTGGACTATCTGTTTAGTAAACTTACTGGAGGTTTGTTTGTTTTGTCTAAATAACAACACTTAGATAAAATTAGAGGGTTATTTTTGCCCTTTCACACTTGCAAATAATTTTGCCCCCTTTTAAATTCACCCAATCATAGTTCTGTTTAAGAATTGTACTGTGTTGTTTGAATATGCCTCGTTTCAAATTCGCCCACCTGTGAGTAGGGCAAAAGTGGCGAAAATAAAACGATGGCGAAAATTTTCCTGTATACAGTACTTTCAATACTTAGATATTTGAAAGCACTTAATTACAAATATTTTTTGATATAATAAATATAGGTCTATTGTCAAATATTTTATGTTCATTCCAAATTTTAAGTCATAAAGTTTTAAGTTTCTAATACTGTCAAATGAAAGCAAGAAAGAAATTTCAGATGGGAAAAAAATTCCTCTCATCAAATTTTCTTCTTTTTTTTTCTTGTGCTAATTATAGATCAGTACATGACTGATACCAAAGTAAGAAGAATGAACCCTCGAGTGACAATGTCTATGGTTGAGGTGTACAATGAACTAGTAAAAGATCTGCTACAAGTCCCAGGAAGTGGCGGGGCATACTTAGATATTCATGAGACTGCAGATAAAGGAGTACATGTCAAGGTCAGTATTATTTACATGATCTAGGTCCAGGTCATCATTTTGTGATTTACATAAAAGAAAAGACAATCAAAATCTAAGAAAGATGTTTTTTATAGAGATAAGCATAATTAAAGCAGTGCCATGTTCTAGGTTAGAAATAGGTTTTGTTTAATGGCATTTTTACCTCTGTTGAAATCCTTCAAAGCCTCAAGGTCATCATTCATTATTCAGAACTGCAGCCTTGCTGTGCTGAGAGATGCTTCTGATGGTCATTCTCAGTTCCGACAAGGAATGGCACGAAGAACAGAAGCAGCAACAGATTTTGGTCCAGCTTCCCAGCATGCTGCCACCATCATCCATATTGACCTAGAAATGGTAATTATGTCATCCATATTGACCTAGAAATGGTAATTATGTCATCCATATTGACCTAGAAATGGTAATTATGTCATCAATATTGACCTAGAAATGGTAATTATGTCATCCATATTAACCTAGAAATGATAATTATCTCATCCATATTGACCTAGAAATGATAATTATGTCATCCATTTTGACCTAGAAATGGTAACTATGTCATCCATATTGATAATGATCTAGAAATGGTAAATACACTGTATGTCACTATTCTTTCTGTTTTTATTTCTAAATCAAAGATTTTCACAGAAAGTGCATTGTAAGTTAATATATTTAAGTAAAATTGAAAACTGGTAAGAAATACCGTATGTAGTGACAGAAAACAAGTAAGCACAATTTTTAGATGACACTGTATTATTTGTCTATCAGATGAAACCAAAAAAGGTAAGAAAACTGAAGTCTTGAGCAGAACTGGAGAATATAAAGTAGGAGAAAGCATGTCACTGTTGCTTACAGCTTTCCTCTTTCCAGTGAATTTAGTTTTCTGCATCTCTTCTTGGAACTGTTAATACCAAGCAGATTAAAACCAGCTCCAGTTTTCAGTTATGCTATTATCAGACGGCTAGAAGAAGAAGAGGGGGTGATTTTAATTAAACTATGTTAAAATACTTTTCAAGATATTATAGGAGGATAAAAGGATAATAATTAGGATATTTCATAACAAACTTTTTGATTTTGTCTATTAAATTTAAGATATATCAGACACACTGTATTGAGTAAGAAATGTCACAACTTTTGAGAATTTTGATGCCAATTAATAAATTTCCTAGGTAAATACATGTATATATAAATGTGATTTAAATATCTCATGTTGTTGGACTGGAACTAGATGTGATCCATATCTTTCTATATGTCTTTATTGATTTCCATATACTGTACCTATCCTTGTACAGGTTCATGCTGAAACCTGTGATCTTTAAATGTGCTTTATCAATCAAAATTTTATTATTTGTTGGTCTGCATGCAAACAAATCTAATATGTGTACCTAGAATTCATTTCCTTTCAAGCATGACTGGAACTTTAAAAGATTCTCCACTCTCTTATTTTCCACCTTTGTAATCTCTTTGAACAGAGCTTTAAAGCAGTCTCTAAAATTAATTGAAAATTTCATTTTACATAATTGTACCATCATAATAGATTACATTTGTGTGTATAGAGACATTATTGGGTTCATGTTTTAATTCAGGTTTCATTTACCAAGTGTAGCTGTATACATGAATAAGTTTTATTTAGCCATCAGAAAAAAAGATTTTTCAAAATATATTCACACTCTATTATATGATAGCAAGTAATTAAAATCACGGGGATAATTATTATTGAACAAAATCAGAGGTAAGTTTGGTATGCTGTAGAAGGTTTGAATTTTGTACTTTAGTTCTTATTTTCCTTTGAAAAAGCCTGTAACATAATAAAAGATAGGATAAAAATCGACAGAATTAGTCACTGGTAATTCAAAAAAGATATGTCAATTCATTTGTACACCTATGATGCAAGAAATAGATCAGTTTTGTATCAATATATAGGATTTATTTCAGTAAAAAAGTTTATTTTATCAAAAAACAAATACAAAAAAAAGAAAATAAACATTCTAAGAGCAATTTATCTCTTCAGAAAGACAGAAGTTTTATCGTGAAAAAATGAATTGAAGCATTTTACCTCTCAAGCCCTATATTTAATTGTCCATTTGAGTAGCATAGCAATACTTCTATTGAGTATCATTGAAAATGCAGACTTGAGTAGACACATATTGTAGCTTTTTTAAGTTTGAGGAAACTCCATTGTATGAGGGGTTTATACAGTAGTTGAGAAGTTCCTGGAGATCATGGTATGGTTTGGTATTGATTGTTAAGGTCAGTTTTTGTCCTGATAACACTGATAAACCTCTACCTAACCTCTTACATAGTAACACTGTCAACAAAAGTAATTTATTGATTCATTCCCTGTAGGAAATTTCTTATCATCTTGGAGGGGGTTTAACTTTTTATATATCTGTGTCTGTTACATGTTGGAACTTTGTAGATTGTTTTTATAAACAGATGATTTTGTTGTGTTTATCATCATTTTACCTTTTTTCAGTTGGTGGGAGATAATCCTAAACCGAACCATTCTCGCTTCACTGTTGTCGAGTTGCCGGGATTGGAGAAGCTGAGCGAGGATGCGGCTCAGTTAAGACAGAGGGAGGGGCCAACTCTTAGCAAGGCTCTCAATGGTCTGAATTCACTGGTCATCTCATTGGCCAGCAACCCTTATGCAGACCGTGTCATAAGCTATAGGTCAGTGCATTTTGACAAAAGTTAATAAATGTGACTTTCAACATGACAATTAATCCTCATACATTTTTGTTCTTGTGAACTTTGTTCCCTGATAAATTTTATTAATTAGAATATATCATCAATGTGAATTATAAAATTTTGGAAATATGCTATACCTTTTTTAGGGATGGGTATCGGCAAAAATTTTGTATCGTGATATATCACGATTTTTTCCCAAAAATATCACGATAAATCGTGATATTTTTAAACACAATTTTTACTTCAATTTCAAATTAATTTCCATAAAATTTCTTTAAAATATGCCATAAAAAAAATAACTTTACTTTTTAAATTTTCATTTATTTAATATAAAGCATGTTTTGATGTGGCTGTTTAACAGTTTTCGACATTTTTTACACTTCCTGTAATTGACATTCAATAGTTTGAACAAATAAATGAATAATTTCTGGAATTTGTAGTTATGTTCCAAATACCGGTATTTTAGTCTCCATATCACGATACGTATCACGCAATAAAAAATCGCGATATACCGGTATACCAATAAAATTGCGCATCCCTAACCTTTTTGTTTTAGATTAACAAATATTTCACAATATAATACACAATTGATCTGACTCATTAAATGCTATCAAGCAAGTTGTATCAGATAATGAAAGAAGACCTTATTATTTTCAAATACTTGTATAATCAACCTCTATAACAGTTGCAAATCCAGAATTTTGAGAAATCAGGGGAGGGGGACAAACTCAATGAAAAAAATTGCCCCCTCATAAACTAAAAAAAATCAGCTTATACACTGGAGGGATATCAGCAAAAGGGGGGGGGGGGGGTGTTACAAAGGCAAGTAAAGTTTTGTCTAATAAAATTTTTAGAAAGACCTACCGTAAATCTGGAAATTTTTACATCGATTTATTTTTGCGAATCTGGGTCAAAAGTCTGTTGATTAATTTTTACGTTTAAAATTTTTGCGAATCGTCATCTGAACTAAAATATAGAAAGCTCTTAAAATTTTCTTAAACGTTTGTAAGTTACACATGTACATACAATATATTAGGAATAAACATACAATATTAAATACGCCAACGTTCAATAATCAGATAAAAATATTAGAAAAGTTAATTCATCCAAAGTGTTGAAAGTTTTTATAACATTTTCATAAATCACACATGTACATAAAATATATATAACGATGCAATCTTTAAGTAATCTTTAGATAAAAACATTTTTTGATGTTGATTTATTTTTAAGAAAAGTATTTTTGCGAATGCAATGCATGCGCAAATTTGCTAAAAATTTATCTACAGCAAAAATTTCCAGATTTACGGTATATAATCTTCCAATTTATTTTCACAGTTTTAGAAAATTGGTAATTAGAAATAAAAAGAATTGAAATTTTCTTTGTACCTCAAACTGATTTTTTTCAGTGATTCAAAGCTAACTCAGTTGCTGAGAGACGAGTTGGGAGGGAATTGTAAGACGAGGGCTTTACTGAATATCAAGCCCCAGTCTGATCCGAGCACGTTTAATGCTGTTCTACAGTTTACAATACGCCTCTCCCAAGTGAAGAACTATCCCATCATCAATGACTCCTATGCTCAGGTCAGTTTGTATGATGTATCCCACCTATTTTATATACTGGTATATGTTTGTATGAGATATATGGTGAGGGAGTATATTGGCAGTGCCTGCTGCCCAATCTTATTAATATGTTTATTACATAATAAAATATTGTTTAAATTAAATTTATGAGATATATGTGATGTATACACCACGCTGGTTACAATCCATAATTACTATTACAGAATTTGATAAAAAGTATTGGCTTTTCTGTACTTTCTAAACCAAATTAGAAATGAAATACAAAAATATATTAAGTGCATTTTATGATTGAAAGAAAAATAATTGTCTGGTTTTTTGGAAATTTTAGGAGCTGATCACTCAGTACAGAGCCAGAATTATTGATCTGAAGCAGCAGGCAGGTGTAGGTCCAGCACCGATGGCACAGATCAGTAATCTTAATGACGTCAAAGAAACCATAAGGCAACTGGAGGTTGAAAATGTATGTGTAGAATTATTGTTAGTATTGTAGAAATTGGTGATTAAATTCTAGACAGAAATTCAAATCATACATACCTAAAACATAAATTACATTTCTTCCTCTTAAAAAACAACTATGAATAAAATTAAAAGAGAAAGTCCAAACTTGAAAACCTAAGTCAAAGAAACTGGGGGGATAAGCCGAGCCATATGCCTACATAACGTTCGATAAAAAATCAATAAATTCATTTTACAAAAATTTCACTTTTTGTTGAATTAATGTAATGCTTATTACCATTTGCATACAAATTTGACAAAACCTGAATACTGTAACAGCGAAAATGATTCTGATTAACACAACAAAATGGCATCACGCTCAATTTTCACAAAAGCTGACATAAATTGGATGATATAACTACATTTTTTAAATAGAGTGGGTCATCGTATACCATTCTCTTGAGAACGATTAATGAAAGACAATGGAAAGATGTTGCTTTTTACACTTGCAAAAATTTGGTATGAAGACCCACTCTACATAAAAAATTAAGTTAACTTAGTTAAATTTTCACCGTGGTCTTAAAAAATTCTAAGTCCAAATACGCTTGCTTAATATAGAGAACTGTATGCTATTTAAATGGATATGTATGTGTGACTCCGTGGTCTAGTGGTTAGCAAGGAGCTCTTTAAAGGGACGTTTATTGAGGAAAGTGTTCGAGTCATGCTCTGATTTTTTGATATTTTTTTTTTGGGGGGGGGGGGGGGTAATTTTGTTTTACTTTATAAAAAATGTCTATAGGAATAACATATTTTTCACTGGAAATAAAATACATGTATGTAGTAATGAACTCATTTACAGTATATTATTTAAAATGCTGGATAAAAATTATAATAGATATTTGAATACTTTTATTCCTGTTTTTATTTATTTTTACTACAAGCGCTTCTAGATCACCACTATCATTATATACAATGTTAACATTTTTATAATATCTCCACAATAAGTGTTAACACTCAATATGCACATTAATTAATAGAAGTCCCTACCCAAGTTAGACACTTGTGACAGTAAATGAAAGTCAACTGTTTAGCTTGTTTAGAATATAAATATCATTTTGAAAACTACTGTAAACATTAAAATGCTTAAGTAAATTCAAACAATTAAAAGATTTTTTCCAAAAAATGTTCTTGCATAGCCGAAAAATGGGCATGGGCACATGGCTCGTCTTATCCCCCCAGATTCTTTACAGAATATTTTTTATAAAGTTAGAATTTTTCTTTCTGTCATGTTTGATAAATTTAATGGTTTAGCTTAACTATGCATACACTGTACAATAGTACAATGTATATATATCCAATCCATTTTAGCTGAGACTGAAAGATGACAATGAGAGACTGAAGACTCGACTTGATGGAATGCAGAATAAATTTGGGAGCATGGCTCACACCAAGACTGACTTGTCTCAACAGTTACTGATGACCGAGGAGGAGAAACTAAAGGTCAGGGGTCATCACTGTGTGAGGGGCTGCTGAAATGGGGGGGGGGGGTGCTTACTCATAATTAGAGTAAATGAATAATCATGCTGATTTCAATGGGAAAGAATGCTTGATACTCATAAATAAGAAATTTCACCAGGCAAGGGTGATGATCTGCTCCTCTGCTATTTTGAGGACAGGAGTGGATTGTCACCCTTGGCTGGCAAAGATGGCCGATAAAAGATGTGGGTGTAAAATATCTCTGACACAGCTCAGTTAAGTAGGTTTTTTTTATGATTTTCGAGTTTGATTATTTATAATTGTCACTTCAGGTGTCACAGTCCTTGGTGGAGATGCAGATTGAAAACAACAAAATCAGAGAGGAAGCTGAGGCCACAAAGTTTGAATTGACCAATAAGGTAGAAAGTGCTCCAGACCATGTGTCTTTTTATGCAAATTGCAGATTAGCAGTATCACTAGTAGTCACATTGTATTTATTAACCAAATACAGGTATCACACTTTGACGTAGGTCTTTTAAATAATTATGTATATAATATTTAGATTTTTAATCATTGAGTCATGATATTGTAGATTTTAATGCTGGAGAATAACTTGGTTGAGGCAGAGAATGAGAGAGATAAACATCACAAAGCTGCTCGGAATGCCAAGGAAAGATTGCTTGAAATGGAGAAGGACAGAAAAGACTTGGCCGACGAATATGTTGTCCTCAAAACAAACTATCTGGCTCTTGTCAGAGAACATGAAAAAGAGGTAGGAAATTATGATATTTCAAACTGGTTAGCTGTCAGCATCTATTTTTAAATTGTGTTCCATTTTAACACTATTATTTGGTAGCACTTAATGATAAAAAAAAAAATTGACTTCGTGAAAGGCATATATTTAGTACATTTAGTTGCTGATTCTTAGCTGTCATTGTATATTTTACAAATAATCTGTTTATCCACAGACCAAGAGGAATGATGAACTAAGTATTGAGTTGCTCAACTTAGTGAATGCCAAGGCTGCATTGATGAAGCAGATTCATGCCTTGTCTGACTCTGACCCAGGAATAGGGGACCCAGAGGCTGAGGTCAGCAGGGTCAAGGCCATTGTAATCAAGAATTCTTCTGGCAAAGTCAAGGTAAACTTCTGCATGTATCTTTCTTAACTAGAAAAACCTCCATTTGGTTTATTTTGTGTGCAGTCAAACCTGTTATATATACATTTAAGTGCAACCTGTTACGGAGGCACATATGATAAAAAGTTGCTATTAAAATTTTACATTAGTTGGCCTCTGGTGCATGTTTGGCTATATCTTTTTGCTTTTCCTACAAAAAAGACTCGTAATTCCAGTTATGACAGCAATGAATAGAAATGAATAAATCTATTACAAGTATATTCAGTGTAGCTTTTGTGATTTTCTTTAATTAAGTGAGAAAAAATAGGAACCCCATTGAAAATTCATGAAATTCTTAAATTTTTTGTCTTTTTTATTATTATTAAATAACAGGCTGACGAGATTCTGGGAACAAAGACAGACAGATCACAAGTGGAGAACACTGTAAGATTTAGGTCTTTGTTGTTTTTTACTGGCAAATATTGGCAGGCATTTTAAGAACAATGTTTAAATTAACTGACGGAGATGGTAACAGGTGTCCCCTGATTATTATGCAGATTCCTTTTGGAGATCTATCTTCAAGGCTTTTTTATATATCATTAATTTTTTTTATTTTTAGCTGTTTAACAATAAGAGACGTTATGAGAGAGACATGGAAAGACTGAAGAAAGAGCATGGTGATGACAGAGTGAGATTGGAAGCCAAATTGTAAGTTGTTTTGCACATCAACAAACTGGACCATAAAAGTAAATCAGGTTTTTATTTTGAAAACATCAAAATGTACCATTGATGTCTGATTGCTTCAGAAATTCTGTCCAGAAAGAGTTACAGGAATCCCGTAATTTGGCGAGAGAGCGACAACGGCGATTGGCAGAACTGAATGCTGTATGTATTTCATGTTTGAAAACACTTTTTGTCCTTAGTTTCTAAAGTGATTTCATCATCAAAATGTGAGAAGGGTACCATTCAAAATTTGGATATACTACATGTATGCTTTGAAACTGCTAAATGTCCTTTATATATAGATCACTTGGTGCTGCATCAATGATGTAAGAAAACACATGTAGTTTGCCTGCTTTGTAAATGAAATAAGTTATTACTCACTCTCTGTGGTTAAATATGCAACAGAAAAAAATATTTACACCACTTTGTGTATTTGAAAGTACAGTATCTAGTGCTCATAGAATCATACAAAATACCAGGCTTTGGGCATTGCAACGTGCATGTACGATCTATTCAGTTAACCCCCCAAAAATATGCTTATAATTGCTACTCCAAAGTACATGTTATGAATAATACAATAAAACTGTGTAAAAGAAATATTAGAAAGGATTTATTTTTACTAAAGCTTCCTTCATAAGGATCAGGACATAACTTCATCAGCATTGATATCACTCAGATAATTCAAGAATTAATGTTATCTTTACTACATTTTCTCCAAAATGAAAGCTACCATGAAGCATTTACCCATTAAAATGGTTGTAATGATTTCTGTCAGGCTTTGATTGTGGCTCGTGGAGAGAAGGAGCAGTTAGAACTGCAGCTGAACAGACTCCAGCACAAGGTCAAGGATCTCGGTGAGGACTATAGAGGGCGCCTCATCAAATACGTGGAGGATATTGCTGTAAGACTTTAGCATTATTGTGGTGAAAAAATTGTCAAGGGAATTAGAATTCTTGGGTTTGTTTTGAAATCTTATGATTTGACAGTGCATGTAGTACAGACAAAATATAATTTTGTTTTTTGTTGTTTGAAGGAATTTGTGGATAAGAATAATGCAGGACCTGATGGTAGAAGTTCAGGTAGAATGAGGGATTATGTAGAAAACATGCACAAGGACATAGCTCGTTCACACAAGGAGAGGGAGGAACAGCTAAGTTTGGCCGCCCAGCAGTATAGAGAGAGCAAGCGGAGTCTACTGCATAAATATGAAGAGCTGCTTATACATTACAGGTACATAATATATAATACTGTGAAATCAACATTATTACTGGGGGACCAATGTTCATAGTCCAGCCTTAGCCACAAATTTACATGCACAGGAACAATAATGTATCGGTTCAGTAAGAGGTGTCTATGAAATTATGTCCACAAAAACCTGTATTAAATCTGATTGCCCATGAACATTGACCCCCAGAATAAAAATAATTTCACAGTAGTTATCATAAACAAGAAACAGCTACCAGTATGATTTACAAAATACCACGGAATCATCATTGCTTGTGTGAAATTAATGTGGGTGGAATTCATGATCATCTGTTTCCACAAATTTATGTCCCCATGAAAGATAATTTTATAAGTGCATCAGTTCATAGAATCTTCTGTATATATGAACTTCTCACAAAAGTACGTCCCCACGAACAAGTTGAATTTTTATTTATCTCAAAAATTGACCCCAATGGATTAAAATGATTCTACAGTTCTCTTTTCTCACCACAATATATATATAAGGATTTGCATTAATTTGTATAAATTAATATGTATTGCAAAACAGCTGATATTTGACAACTCACTTAATCACAAGATAACTGAATATTTTTTTAAAATGGAGGACTGAAAGGACTAATCTTTGACATTTTAGGAACTTGCGACTTCAATGTGAAGAGAGAGGTTTGGACGACATTGACATGGGACCTGATGAAACAGAGCTGAAACTGTCTGACTCGGAAATCAACTCCTCCAACCTCCGAGAAATCACTCGCCTCAAAGGAGAGGTCAACAAACTGAAACAGACTGTACAGAACTACAAAAATAAGGTAAAGTTCAATCACTGATCATATGTTTCTCTTGCAGAGTTATTTCTGAATCAAGTTGTATTAATTGTTTTATTTTTGTATTAGTAAGCAATGAAATTTTTCCCATATCATTTAGAAACTTGAAAAAGTGCAAATGTACATAGCATTGTCATTACATATAAAAGGTTTTTAAATTTCATCACATTTTATACTTCACTTTTTATTTTCAGTATGGAGTGTCAGATGATGATGACTTAGCAATGAGGTAAAACTTTATGAGGTCTTCTTATTAAAAAATGATCTAGTAGCTTTCACCTTTTATAAATTCATTGTAAATATATACTATCAAATTTTTCACAGACCAGGAGAAAAGCCAGCAGAGACCTGGGCTACCTTACGTAAACAGTTACGAGAGTACACACTAAATACACAAAAGGATCTAGAGGAAGAGAGGGCCAAGCTAATGAGTGAAAACATAGTGCTGAAAGAACAGCTCAAAGAAAGTCAAGACTACATAGATCACCATCTTGTAAGGTAATTGTGCATTTTATATACATGTACAAGGCAAGGAGGGTATTAATTGATTATCAAGATTTAGTATGAAATTTCATGGGAATGCTTGAAATGAAAGTAATTACCTGAAAATAATTCACAAAGAATTGGCTCATCTGACAATGATTTAGCATTCTTGTAAACACTGAACACTTGTCGTAACAGGAGTTACACAAGTAATAATTTATATTGATTGATATGTTCTCTTTGCGAGGGGATGCTCTGCTTTGCGGTGCCCTTGTTCTATCATATAGTGTAAATTCAGATTTTTTTAAAATCTGGGACTTGTTGCATTTACAGATGACCACAATAACTTCTTTAGGGCATGAGAATTCAAAATGAAAGGACATCTCTTTTTTTTTTAAGCCTTTCACAAATTTTCTAGTGAAAAAATATCATCTTTTGTCTTAAACTAGTATATCATGCATTACAGGAGATGATCAAAGTTTACATTTAATCTATCATACTTCTTTCTGCCTTTGCAGATACAAACAAGAGATTGTAAAGTTAAGGAAAATGCTTGGATATGATACAGATGGTTCACCAGTTCCAGGTATTCAGGCCTATAGGAAGGGCAGGAGAAAGTAGGCTGCAGGATTCAGACTCACTGACAGAAAAGGATAGCCCCAAGGAGTAGGATAATACAGCCTAGTATAGACTCGGTACTACAATAGCCAATGATACAAGTCTTGCCTGTACAACCCATTCTAGATAACAGCAGTGCCTTCTGAACTATTACCAGTGAATAACAATAGTGCTTAATAACTGTTCATGGTATTTCAACAACTGTGATATATTCTCTGTGATATGTTTAATTACTTACTGCTTTAGTATATTGCTGCACCTTTTTCATACTTAGTGAATGTAAACATGTACTTACTTTACAACCATGGTGTAAACTTCTTTTGAGATGTGTAGAGTTCTTAGTAGACAAATTAAGTGCACAATCCTAGTACATATTTCACAATATCTTTTCGACCTTCCAAAAAACTAAAATTTAAGCCTGCCAAAACTTGAGACAGTTAACATGCAGTGATTGCAATATGCAATACTATTTGGAGGAAAAAATATTTTTATCACACATCTATATGTGTAAGATGCAATATTTTTGTATGAATGCATAATAAATGCCATTAACTGCGAATTTTGTTTTCCTTTTTCTATTCAAGAAATTAATTTGCAAATTAACTAAGTGTGTGTACCTTGGAAAAAGGTTTAATCCTTATGAATAACCGCTGCACATAAATATATAAGAAGATACAGTTTGTAAATTAATAGGATTTTATTCATTTTAGGACTGTGACAATTATAAATACTATTTTACATAAAGCAAAACAATAAAATTATTTTGAGATAAGGGATAAAATTCCCTGCAAGGAGAGCCTTTATTTAAATACAGGGTCTCAGAAATTCCATGTTGATGATAAATATTTAAAGTTAAGATCTATATTATATTTGGTAATACACACTTCCATCCACTGAGGAAGTAATACAAAAGCAGGTTTAATGGTCTGTGCTTCTCTTACATAACATCAAAAGCACAGGAGTGGCAATTTCTGTCTGACAATAGATTATGATTATTTTATGTCCACAACACTGATGTGCATTACAATGACACAAGAAGCTCTGATCGCTCATTATCCCTAAAAGTCCAGGTGAATTCTACAGTTGTCCCCTCTGCAATGGTTACTGTGTTCTAAGTTGATAATCTCCATTCTGTGTGATGTAGCGCACCCATGGTAGAGCCTGGTATCCACTCTTCTCAATAATCTTGAGATATCTCACCTATTTAAAAAAGAATAACATATAAAATACAAATTATGACAATTCTATTATGTGTAATAATGCATAAGTGTCACACTACCCCAAAATCAACAGGTTACAAAGCCTTTATGCTTCAAAATATTACAACTAGCCCCATTTTTGCAATTACACATACATGTATATCTCTGATGTCCAGTGTGTTCAATTTAATCGGTTGTTATAATTACCTGTATTCCAGACACCGTAAAGTAGGGAATCTCAAACTTGACATGTATTGGGGGCCTGCCCTCAGTATCCTCCCCGACCACACTAGGTAAACCAAAGTGTGCCCTCATCAGGTACTCCTTACCTCCCTACCAAAAAAAAAATATATCAGTGTAAATGTACAGATATTGAAGGATATGTGCTTTGGTTTCAGTAATCTTTTCCAAGCCTCTCATCTAAATAATATTGCTTGCAGAAATTTTGGAGCAAACAGATTTGAACCACTATTTTGAATGGATTGATATCTTACAGGGAATGATTTAATCGTCCAGATGACTGCATTTATGTCGGGAGCATATTTACAGCTGCCGACCGTCGTCTTGAACTTTGGCGAGTCTGCATCTGCAGGAACTGGAATGATGATTTCTACATTGTTGGCAGTGGATCTTCTCTTGAACTGACTCTTAGCCTGTTACAAAGGAAAAGTTACAACACTGTCACAGAAAATTAAAAAACTTGAAACTTCACTGCTTATTAAAATTCCTCAAAACGTAAACCAATATCAAATGTCACAGCAGTACAATGCAAGTAATACAAAATGATAAAAATAATGAAACAATAATGAACTTACTTTGATCATATACTCTACTCGACTATGGGCATGCCTTTCAATAACAGACTCCACCCAAATCAGTGGCTTCACCTACAAAATAAAAACTCTCAAATAAAAAAAAAAATGAAAAACATTCAAAATATCTGGATATCTATAAAGATATTGTTACCATATAAATGTAATTCCCTGAAACTTACATGAGTGTTCAACCTGTAAGACATTAGCTCAAATTCCCCATCTGGTGGAATGAAGGAAATTGTTCTGTCATTCTCAAACCTGGACAGTCGGACACACTGGTGAAATTTGACATCCTCCAGCTCTACAGACTTGCTCTTACCCCCTATAATAATTACAGCAATGTAGCAGGATTATTAAACATGTATACTACCTACTGGTAGATGAATATTGGCTATAATAATTACAGCAATGCAGCAGGAATATTAAACTTGTACATTACTTAAATGAATATTGGCTATAATAATTACAGCAATGTAGAAGGATAATTAAACTTGTATACTACCTAGATGAATTCTGGCATGAGTTGGGTTAAGAATTAAGTGCTGTGAAATCACTAATTTTCACGGAGAGTTAATTTTCCTTGTTTTCATGGATAGAGGAGACACACAAATTTATATCTCCCATGAAAGTTATAAGTTCAAATTACAGTATAATACTTTTCCTTTAACCATGAAATCTAATACCCAACAAACTAGTCATTTTACCTCAAACCATGAAAATTTGACCCCAAGAAAATAAATGACTTTAAAGTATGCAAGCTAGTGAAGTTTGCTGTTAATCAATTATAACTGATACATAAATGTTTTCATCATAACATTTCATATCCCACACACTGAAGAAGTCTGGTATACTTACGCCCTGTACTTTCAAATAGCACTTTGTCATTCAGACCCAGTCTAAGTTCAGGCATTCCTGACAGGTAAACTCTCATCTTCACAGCTCCCACTATTTCACTTCGGAGTACATTACCATTTGCACTGACCTGATTATTTTTAAAAAATTCATAGTTGATTAGACAATGAAATAAAGCACCATATTCACAGGGTTCAACACTAACTTTTTAAGGCTTTAGTCCAGCTGGACTAGTGCTTCATTACTTTTACTAGTCCGCATGCGATTTTATTAGTCTGTTAAAAAAAAAAGAAGCATCAATGTTTTTTAACATAATTTAACATGACAATTAATAAACGTATTATTTTTTGAAATAAACAAAGTATTTACATGAAATATATTATTCCAAAGATTCATTGAAATTTCGCAATCGGCAAGTACGATCGTATTCCTGATCTCGTTTTTTTTTTCTTTACATTACATCCAAAACGTCCAACATCTTTCTTAAAAGTGTCATACTAAATCATGATCGCTAAAACCTTTTACTTCATATCGATCAGTCGAAAAATTAAGCGCTGAATTGACCCGGCATTGCGTAACTACCCTCCAAAAGCTAGAAACCTAAAAATACACGCGGGGTTTCCCAGTAAAAGTTGTCGAAAATCAGACATTGGTAATTTATTCATATTGTTTTTTAAAAATTTTTATTGGTCTGTTCGGACTAATTAGCCACATATTTTATTAGTCCGAATGAAAATGTATTAGTCTGAGACTAACGGACTAACGTTAGTGTTGAACCCTGTATGCATCAAGTTATGCTTACGGTAATATCTGCTCATTATAAAAAGAAGATTCATATCCACTTGGCGGCACTTACTAGTAAATTGACAGACTCAATGACATCAAGGAATACTTCATTTTTCCTGTACTTGATTTTCTCAGACCTCCATGACACAGCATTGGTGACGGCCGGAGGTGGGCGTGGCGCTACTTCCATCTTGTGACCCTCTTGTGTGATGAATCTACAATTCAAAATATACGTGTATTGGAATACTTGTAAAATTCTTTATCATGAAAGTCGTGTATATATACAAAGAAAATATTCCTATAATAGATAAATTACTGCTTACTCTTGTAGAATTTTACTGTCTGTTGTTTGAGGAAATCCAAAATCCATAACTTCATCCAATAATTCATAAATCAAGACAAAGTTATCTCTGATGCTTTCCTCCTCTAGCTCTTTGAAGTATTCAATGAATACCTGAATATCAAAGTTACACAAAATAAAACAAAAATATATTAGAGTGGTATAGGAAATTTTGTTTACAGGCAGAATGTCAAAATAGAACATTGCTACAAGTTCCATCAGATGAAATTGATACATGTATTTTAGGGTGCTCATCATACTAATATTACATGAAAAGTAAGTTTAATAATAATATAATCTCTTCAAACAAAACAGAATGCCTGCTGAATTGATACCTGTACAAGTTTATGAAGAAAAGAGAAGACCATAGCAACATTGGCATTCCTTTTAGATGTGGCAACCAAATACAGACTATTATACTTGATGAAAATGAATGTAGTGTTGCCATGCTGGATAATTGGGGATGTGTTAAGTTCCTCTTCCCTCTCCATGAGAAGTGACATAAATTTATCAATGACTGACATATCTATGTCCCCTCTGTAATTCCGACTTATCAACACCTGCAAATATACAAGACATATATATACATGTATATTTAAAATATCTATACATTCTGAAAACATTTTATATCTATACAGGATACCCAAAATCTGAAGAAAGTGGGGTTTTTGTTTTTAAATTCAAATTCAATAAGACTGACATACAAATCCCAAATACATAAAAGAAGTCAGAAAAATTATAAATAGGAAGCAAGATTTTTGTCTACACTTTAAAAAAGATTCATTTCCTTACAGAACCAGGAAATACAAAATTCTAAGAGCTTGACAGAAAAGTTAGTACACACCTTCCCCTTTGAATCCAGTAAATAAACTGCTGAGGCTGACATGGCTGTGATATATGTTAATCAATCTACAAATAACAAAACATTGGAGCATTACAGTACATTCAACTCATATGTTGCTTTTTTAATTAACCAGAAGTTTCCTATGAGTCTGGGCTCTACTGATTTGTACAGTACTTACATTATAAAGGAGCAGAAAAGTAGCATTTGGACTTGAAATTCTTTTTATAAGCTTTATGGTTAGGCCAACTTTAAAACAATGTTTGTTTGCCCTCTCCTTTTCCAGGATGAAAAAAATTGGGTCCGTAGGTAGCTGGGAATTTTTTTCCCCAGAAAATTCCAACATCGAAGATGAATTTTCAAAATTTGTTTATATTTACATACAAAAATTATTGTTTCCTGGAGGTTAAAAAAGTTTTGAGTCAGGCCAATTTTCGCCAGTCAGTCGGGAGAGGGCAACCAAACAATTTTTTAAAGATGGCCTTACAGGCTACTAAAATTTTACCTCTATTACATTGACTACACAAGTAGTGTCATTTTAAAAATAGATTTTTTTTCTTAAGAATTCTTGGGTATGTATATGGGTTGGAATGGGGTGGTTCTAAGGCATAAATGGATAGGAGAGGGTCTGAAAAAAATTATAAAATGGATAATAATGGGGAATTTTGCTGTTAAATGCATAGTAGGAAGGATGTGAAGAGGCCAATGTTTACCATTTCCTCGAAGGAAAAGTGAAATAAGCAGGGTAGGGTTTATATGCGATGCCATAGCATGACTTGCAGACTATGAATTTTCCTGAGAGCCTGAAAAATATTTGGACTTGAATATGTTCAAACTCTGTGCCAAGCGTCAGGTGACTAGAGCCGATGTGATTTTTTAAATGGATTTCACATTATAAATGAATGTATTGTAAAGTAGTTTGTGTCTTTTATTCGGCTGTGCTTGTTGAAACTGAGAAAATTCGAACTAAAATACTACGTAAACGGCGTTACCCTGACCACTATCAAAGAAACATTTCTTACACTATACTGATAAGTAGAAAATAAAACGTAATTTCTTACCAAAATCTGTTACCGAAAACCTACAAAGATTGTGTTTTTTATCAAAAATATATTATCCCGGAACTGGCGGAAGTTACACCTGTCATTTTTCCTTTCATAGGTGCAAGATATATCGTTCAAATTATATTCGTACAATAGGCGTAGCCCTAAATCTGGATATTGCTGCGCTTCAAACGAAGCATTAATCATTAAATCTCAATCTTGTCTCACCTCACAGGTGTCTTAAAACATACGATGGGGTATAGGTCCCTGGATATTTTTGGTGTCTTTCCAGTCCTCATTAACACATTAGCCAACATTTGAAGAAAAAAAAACCCAGGTAAATATTGCTATTGAGGTGCGGATGACGGTAGATAACAAAAGAATTTAGGCCTAATTATTGGTTGCCTATCGTTCTTTTTTGGTCAGTTTCACAGAAATGTTGACAGCATTTTCTTTCTTTCTTTTCTTTTTTTTTTTTTTGGAGAGGGGGTGTCAAAGTTTTAATAATCATGTTTATGTTATGAATTTAGGTTATTTTCTTTTTGTGATTATATTTTTATCCCCCTATCACCACGGAAGCGTGTTAGTGCCACGTAATATTTTTTTAAGTTGGCTTTTCCAACTTTAATCTTAGCTTTTCCAACTTTAAAGTTGGTTATTCCAACTTCAATCTTGGCTTTTCCAACTTCAACCTTGCCTTTTCCAACTCTTAAGTTGGTAATTATGTCTCCCCTTCCAGGGGAGACATATTGTTTTTGTCGATTTTCTTATTAAGGTCTTCCGACTTCCTTCGGAAGACCTTATTGTTTTCCGTCTGTTTTCTATTATTAAGTCTTCCGTTCACAACGGAAGACTTATAGTGTTTGTATTGTTTCTTTTTATTATTATTATTATTATTCCTCCCAAATTTTGTGAGCGCGATTACTCAGAGATGGTGGGATAGATTTTCACAATTTTTCACATGATAGTAGGCTGATATATGAAGTTTGTATAAAATTCCGTTTTTTGAAAAAATCACTTCCGGTGCGAAGTTATGACCGATTTTCCAATTTTTAAATGGACTTTTGTCCGGTGTTTTTCTCAGAAACGGTTTGAGGTAAAGATGTGAAATTTACAGGAATATTAGATCATGACATTCTCTTTGTTTCGAAGTTGTTTTCGTGTGTTTCCGGTACTTCCTGTCCGAACCGGAAGTGAAATTGTGTTTGGTCAATTTTCAATTTTTTTGTTTTTTAATATTTTTTCAAGATATTATTATGTATAACAGAGGTTATTCTACAAATACTAAATATATAATTTGTTTTGAAATCAGATTCCACATTCTGTATATTTTCGGTACCCTCATTTTCCCTATTTACCTAGTGTGTATACAGTGGGCAAAGAAAGATAACTCTGACTTGTAAGTGAGAATAGAACTTTCGAGATAAAGGCGGAAATAGTATCGATGACGTCAGAGACATATACACTCTCCATATCAAAATATTTAGACGTTCCATATTCAATCTTCTAAATGTAAGAGTACGTTGGTTACCGCTTCCAGTGCATGTAAAGTTTGAAGTTGCCAGTATAGTGTAAGTCTGTATTGACAGTTAATTGATTTACAAATGAATATATCTAAAAAAAAATTAATGTATATGCTAGCTATAGGTAGCTAATTCAATTAAATATATTATAAGCACTGAATATACATTTATAGTGATGGACAGGCATGCAATTTTATCTATCTCGTATAGTAAGTTCAGAATACGATAGTTATAAGCCTTCTATAATGCAGACGATTTATTATTCTCTGTGATTTGAATGCGAAATTATCCCGATTTCCGAGTTTTACTTCCGATATTAAAAAATATTACATACACTCAAAAAAGGAATTAAGCGATAGAAAATTGTAATACAGTACTGTTTTAAAGCCTTTATAAATAAATTGATATCTGCCACTGAAAAGAAAGAAAATCAATCTATAGATTAGATTTGTTTATTACATGTATATTTGATAAAAAGTTGAATTATTTATGACACATGATCTATACTCTGTATACCCAAGAAGTTATAAAGGATGTGAAAAGGCGATTCTTGGTTTCTTGTGAAATACTCAAAGAGTTAAAAAAAAATATGTGAAAACGCGATTCTGTGTGAAATAATTCTTCGCTATATGTTTCTTTTGAAAAAAAAATGATAAAAAATTGCACAGGTCTGTTGATATGTGGGATGAGTATACCTGAATGAACACAATTTTATGCAATGATATATAATTATGTACATGAAACTGACGTCCGTACTTTTCCTTATAATTCATAAAACATAAAACTATCTAATTCCTTTGACCCCCCCCCCCCGGTCTTGATTAATATTTGGAGATGTTCGTGCAGCTAGGCATTTGAATTATATATTCGTTTTAGATTTAAATCTGGAACATGTGGTTATAATTACATTTACATGTATACAGAATTTCATATTCTATAATGGTAGCTTTGTCATTATGATACTGAAATGTTCAATTTACATGTCTGAGAGAGAGAGAGAGAGAGGAAGAGAGAGAGAGAGAGAGATTCCCTCTTAATCCCGATCCTCCTATCCATTTACATAGACAAAAAATTAGTTCTATATCAGTGACACCCATTCTCTATTAAATGTTTTCTGATTTCATAGTCAGTCATGGTCACATCCTGTATATTTTTCTGCTTAAAAAGTGTTACACGAAGTGCACGTGTGTTGACCTGTCAATCAAAATAACCTGACGCTGTATGCACTGCAAAAAAGTAGCCTGAGTTCGAAATGATCTTGAAGTATGATCTTTAAGCACATCTGATGCAACAAACTTGTGAAAAAATACAATAAAATAAAAGATCTCGGTATTATGAACTTCGATTGTGAGACGTGGAGACCGGTCCTTGGGATGAGATCGTATAGATCGAGGTCCCGTGTCGCAGAAGGTGCTGGCACAAAAAAGATTATTCACTGCTCAATGGTGATAATTGCCAAAGTATAAAAAAAAATTTGCAGTCTCCTCCGGCGAGTGGTGGCGTCTCCATGTGAGTGAAAAATTCTCGAGAGGGACGTAAACAACATATAATAAATCAATCAATTAATCGATTGCTGAATAATTACTGTTATTGAATAATCTTTCTTTCTAATAGGTATGCTGTCAAATCTTGATAGCTTTACAAAACTCAGTAACTTTACGTTTATTGTGATACTAACTTAATTCATTATATTTTTTTATAACACCATCACAATTATGCCAGAACATATACACAGTGAAGTTTATGATAGTACGGTGTTCGTTCGTCTGTTTGTTTGTCTTAGAAATGATTGCAAACAATTTTTTTAAATTGCTAATCATCCTTGCTCTATGATATACGTATATCTCTCATAGGTGCCAAATGCATTATACAAGATTGATCATGAAAATCAAAGTACCATAAGTACTGAAAGGACTTTTTTCCAGTTATTTTTTCTTTCACAGTTAATATGATATGTATGTTTTTGACACAGAAAAAAGCAAATTCTTACAGATTTAGAAGAACGGAAGACTTTTTTGTTGCCATGGCAACAAGTTTCTAGTTATTATTATTATTATTCTTTTTTCATAGTACGGCCGATATCTCAGCTGTGAGTAAACGGATTTCAAAGATTTTTTCAGGGAAGATGCATCATGAGAATATCTCCAGACGTGTTTTTCATTTTTTCGAAATTCACTTCCGTTCGCATTTTTTTGGGAAATTTGTATTTTTGAAATGGAATTTTGTCCCTTAATTTTCTCAAGAACGATTAAAGATATGAAAGTGAAACTCACGGACATGATAGAACATCACATGTAGATATGCTGATCGACCTTTATTTTTCGTCGTTCGTACTTCCGGTCGCGAACGGAAGTGAATTCAAAAATGTTAAATTTGCAACTTTTTTGTTTTTCAATATTTTTCTTTGAAATTTACAAGGTTAATAGAGAATCTTCTAAGAATTCTATATATGTTTTCATCATTTTGATTAATGCATTTATTGCAAAGATATGACCGATCCTAACTTTCTCGTATGTTGCGGGTTCGAATCCTGCTGGGACGGGAGATTGTTTCTCTCTTTTTTCAGTTGTAAGTAATATTTTACTCCGTGAAGACATGTATGATAGTTTTTGCTTATTTTTTAAAGCTTTGTTAACAGAGAGTCTACAGAAATCCTTTGATAATTATGATCTATGTTGAAAGACTGTGTTACATAAACGCAAACGAAAAATACCTTCAATAAAGTATTAAATGAAGTGAGATAGCATAGCGTTCTGGAGAAAAGTTCGGTCGGAAGACCACTTGTTGCCCTAGCAACAAGAAACACATCTAGTTCTTCTTCTTCTTCTTCATCCAAATTTTGTCCAGGCCGTAACTTTAATACCCTTTGACATTAAGACTTCAAACTTGGAACATAGATAGATGACATTGAGAAGGAGTGCACGCCACCAACATTTTTGACCTTGACCTATTTATGAGGTCAAGGTCAATTTTTTACATCAAAATAGAGTTTAGCCCAGAACTTGAGATCCCTTTGATATTAGGACTTCAAACTTGTAACATAGGAAGAAGACCTTGAGACAAAATGCACTACATTAGAATTTTGACCTTGACCCCTTTCTGCCTTCAAGGTCAAATAGGGAAAAAATACGATCTGACCATAACTTGAGAACCTTTTGACATTAAGACTTCAAACTTGGAACATGCAGAGGTGGTATAAAGAAGGGATGCATGCCACCAAAATTTTTGACCTTGATTCAATTATTATAAGGTCAAGGTCAATCTTTTACATCAAAATAGAGTCCAAGCCATAGCTTGAGTACCCTTTGATATTAGGACTTCAAACTTGTAACATAGAAAGAAGACATTGATACAAGATGCAACACACCAAAATTTTTGACCTTGACCTCTTTTCTTCCTCAAGGTCAAATAGGGAAAAAACTTGATTAGACCATTACTTAAGAATCCTTTGTTATAAAGACTTCAGACATGGAACATGCAGAAGTGGTATGAAGGAAGGATGCATGCCACCAAAATTTTTGACCTTGATCCAATTATTATAATGTCAAGGCCAATCTTTTACATCAAAATAGAGTCCAGG